GACAAATCCACACTAGCTCCTTTTGCCTGTTATTTATAAATTATCACTAACTGACCGATATTATTTGCAGACCGATAGCACTAGCGTTCCACACGAAAAAAAAGTCTTTGAAGAGGTTCTTAGAAGCAAGATCGCCACCCACTTAGATACCCAGAGCAGCATGTGTTGAGAACAGGTCACTCCTGCCTCTCACAACTACTGGACCACTATGACATGGTCGTGGATGTACTGGAGGACAAACACAATGCAGATGTAGTATACACGAACTTCGCGAAAGCCTTCGACAAATGCGATCATGGTGTAATAGCGCACAAAATGCGTGATAAAGGAATAACAGGAAAAGTGGGTAGATGGATCTATAACTTCCTAACAAACAGAACACAAATATTAATAGTAAACAGAGTAAAATCAGAGGAGGTTACAATGAAAGGTTCTGTTCCACAAGGTACAAAGCTTCTCATCCCGTTCCTAATCCTCATCTCTGACATAGAGATGTAAGATACAGCGCCATATCCTCCCTTGCCGGTGACACCTGGATTTGCATGACAGTGTCATCCATTGAGGACACAAAATTCTCATGCGGACATTAATGAAATCTTTAAATGGGCCGCAGAAAACAATATCAGAACCTTCAAAAATAACGAGAACTTTCAAAACTATGGATGCCAAGTCCATGATGATTCTTTTCAAATAGTTTGTTCTCTCCAGGCTGGAATATTGCTGTACACTAACGGCCCTTTTTAAGGTAGGCGAAATTGCAGACCTGGAGAAATATACAGAGAACTTTCACGGCATGTATAAGTACGATAGAACACCTAAATTTCTGGGAACGGTTGGAGTCCCTGATTTTTACTCCCTGGAACGGAGGCGAGGAAGTTACATGATGATATACACTTGGAAAATCCTTGAGGGACTAGTCTCAAATATGCTGTGTCAGGGGCCCAAGACTGTTCAACTGCCTCCCAGCATATATAAGAGAGATTACCAATAGATCCCTGACTGTCTTAAAGAAGGTGCTGGACAGGTACCTAAAGTCAGTACCTGACCAACCGGGCCGTGGTTCGTACGTCGGTTTTCGTGCGGCTATCAGTAACAGCTTGGTTGATCAGGTTCTGATCCTGGTCATGTAATAGGATCAGAGCCGGTCATGGACCGGGCCGCGGGGGCGTTGATCCCCGAAACTCCCTCCAGGTAAGGTCCCAGAACCAAACTGTATCCAGTAAAAATGTCCAAAGTGTATGCACCCATGTCCTTTCATCAACAGTACACAGGTCCTCAGGATATGCTTCAGCTTTTGGTATCTTTGGTAAAGTCTCATTTGGACTGCTGCTCAGTTTGGTCTCCATATTACAGAATGGACATAAATGCGCTTGAAACTGTACAGAAAAGGATGACGAAGTTAACTCCCTATTTCAGAAACCTTTCCTATGAAAATAGGCTGAAGGCACTGAATATGCACTCTCTGAAATGTTGAATATCCAGTAAAAGAAATAATATTAATAATGATCTTTGGAGGCGGACCTTAGTTTATTTGGGTTTACTGGAATGAGCTCAATCACCTGAACATGCTAATTATTCTAAGATTCTGGTCCTTCTTATCCTACACAAACAATGAAAGCTTGAAGTCTATCTAGTGAGGTGTTCTCAACTGAAAAGCAAAAAGTTGGAAGAAAAAAAGAAATAAAATGTAGTAACCATTTGAAGGTTCTATTTAGGGATATTTAACAAAGGGGAAATAAATAACGTGTTGAAAATATCTAACCAGGACAGGACTCGCAGCAACGGATTCAAGATGGAAAAATTTAAGAATAAGGCAAGAACGCTGGGTGACTTTGGATATGGATTGGACGGGTACGTGAATGGGTATGGGTGGGTGTGAGTTAGATGTGCCTAGCACGAGCCAGTAGGCCTAATATAGTATACGAGAGATAAGATAAGGACTCCAATGGAAATAAGTCACTTTGTCTGACTTTTTTTTTTGGTTATCCTACGTAATTTACAATATGTATGATAATTGTATTTATGTGTACCTGTGCCTAAATAAACTTACTTAAATGTCCCATAGCTCGGTTAGTAGCGCACTCAGCTAACACACTGACGCCCATGATTCGCTCCCCGGTATGAGTGGAAACATTAATAAAATAAATACCTGGGTGTTAGCCGACTGGTGTGGGTCGCAGCCTGCGGACAAAATTAACCTAATTTACACGAAATGCTCTGCATAGCAAGAGGCTTTCCATTTAGTATGTCAGCAATGTCTGTATAAGTTGTATCATGTACTTGTAGAAATAAAGATATTATTAGTATCATTATTATTTTCTTATTCGAAGATCAAAATGAATTTTTTATGAGAGAGCCACAAAATTTGATTAACACAAGCCTATCCGATGTTATCCTGACGCCAAATGACTTCGAACAGGCGATAAATGACATGCCCATGCACTCTGCCCCAGGGCCAGACTCATGGAACTCCGTGTTCATCAAGAACTGCAAGCCCCTATCACGAGCCTTTTCCATCCTATGGAGAGGGAGCATGGACACGGGGGTCTTCCCACAGTTACTAAAAACAACAGACATAGCCCCACTCCACAAAGGGGCAGTAAAGCAACAGCAAAGAACTACAGACCAATAGCACTAACATCCCATATCATAAAAATCTTTGAAAGGGTCCTAAGAAGCAAGATCACCACCCATCTAGAAACCCATCAGTTACACAACCCAGGGCAACATGGGTTTAGAACAGGTCGCTCCTGTCTGTCTCAACTATTGGATCACTACGACAAGGTCCTAAATGCACTAGAAGACAAAAAGAATGCAGATGTAATATATACAGACTTTGCAAAAGCCTTCGACAAGTGTGACCATGGCGTAATAGCGCATAAAATGCGTGCTAAAGGAATAACAGGAAAAGTCGGTCGATGGATCTATAATTTCCTCACTAACAGAACACAGAGAGTAGTCGTCAACAGAGTAAAGTCCGAAGGCAGCTACGGTGAAAAGCTCTGTTCCACAAGGCACAGTACTCGCTCCCATCTTGTTCCTCATCCTCATATCCGACATAGACAAGGATGTCAGCCACAGCACCGTGTCTTCCTTTGCAGATGACACCTGAATCTGCATGACAGTGTCTTCCATTGCAGACACTGCAAGGCTCCAGGCGGACATCAACCAAATCTTTCAGTGGGCTGCAGAAAACAATGTGAAGTTCAACGATGAGAAATTTCAATTACTCAGATATGGTAAACACGAGGAAATTAAATCTTCATCAGAGTACAAAACAAATTCTGGCCACAAAATAGAGCGAAACACCAACGTCAAAGACCTGAGAGTGATCATGTCGGAGGATCTCACCTTCAAGGACCATAACATTGTATCAATCGCATCTGCTAGAAAAATGACAGGATGGATAATGAGAACCTTCAAAACTAGGGAGGCCAAGCCCATAATGACACTCTTCAGGTCACTTGTTCTATCTAGGCTGGAATATTGCTGCACACTAACAGCACCTTTCAAGGCAGGTGAAATTGCTGACCTAGAAAATGTACAGAGAACCTTCACGGCGCGCATAACAGAGATAAAACACCTCAATTACTGGGAGCGCTTGAGGTTCCTAAACCTGTATTCCCTGGAACGCAGGTGGAAGAGATACATGATTATATGCACCTGGAAAATCCTAGAGGGACTAGTACCGAACTTGCACACGAAAATCACTCACTACGAAAGCAAAAGACTTGGCAGACGATGCAACATCCCCCCAATGAAAAGCAGGGGTGTCACTAGCCCGTTAAGAGACCATACAATAAGTGTCAGGGGCCCGAGACTGTTCAACTGCCTCCCAGCATACATAAGGGGGATTACCAACAGACCCCTGGCAGTCTTCAAGCTGGCACTGGACAAGCACCTAAAGTCGGTTCCTGACCAGCCGGGCTGTGGCTCGTACGTTGGTTTGCGTGCAGCCAGCAGCAACAGCCTGGTTGATCAGGCTTTGATCCACCAGGAGGCCTGGTCACAGACCGGGCCGCGGGGGCGTTGACCCCCGGAACTCTCTCCAGGTAAACTCCAGGTAAACACAGGTGAAGAGTTCAGCTTTTCGCGCCATCTAGGAATAAGATGAACCATTTTTCTAGTTGCCTATTTTTTATTCTATATTAATGAATTATAAAGCAACTATAGGTATTGGTAAACAAGAAGACTTTTATTACAATACATTAAACTGTATATTTCACCTAAAATTAATGATTTTGCCGAAGAAGGTTAATAAACTGAAGCGATAGACATTAGAAGTAATGGTGGGAGGTTGCGGTTCTAGGTTAACATCGTCATCACAGTGGTAAACATTTTCATATTCTCATGTATATCAGTGTATATATATATATATACTGACAGATGTATATCTGTCATTGTATATATCGTGATAGATGTGTCTCTCAGTGTGTATCCTGATAGATAAATATCTCTGAGTGTGTGTGTGTTGAGTTTACTTAGAGTCCTCAGCGAGGGTGCGTTGATGCCGGTGAAGGGCTCTTGATCCAAGGAATTGGACCTGTCCTCTCTTTCCTTGGATTGAGCCTGATTGCTTGTGAGTTCCCCATGCGCTATATGACCCATACAGGTTTAATGCTGCCCAGTGAATATAATTAAACCCGATGGGCCATTTCATGTGACCTTGTGCCCTGACAAGTGAAGGGCTCTTGATCCAGGGAGTTAGTGCTGCCCTCCTCTTCCTGGGATCAAACCTGATTACCTTCCATTCTTCTGGACCTGTGTTATCCTTACGAGTTTAGTGCTCCAAGAATAAGAATGATTCTAGTGAAGAGTTCTTGATCCAAGGAATTTGAATTACCCTCCCCTTCCTTGAATCAAACAGCTACAAAAAAAGAACCAGACCTGCATATACACTTGTATAGATCCATAGTGTACATATACAGTATCATGTCTAATACATTACTGAATGTTCTAATGTAACTTCTTTTTCCAGATTCAATAAATGACTATACAGGATGTCTAGAATATTGAGATCTTTACTTCAGAATCTTTACAACAATCCTAGTCTAGTAAAGGGCCGCTTATATTCAAGATTTTATAGGAAGGAGTATAATGCAGTCAAGAATTTGTCACTAATTAAAAGACTAGAAAGTATAACCTTCAGTACCAGGCAGTATTCGAGTAAGTATGTGGCTGTCATTCTACATTTTTCATGGGAGGGGAAAAATGTTTTATTTGCATACTTTATGTTCTGTAACATGCAGAAAAAGCAAATTTTTTATTAACATTTTGTTGAATGCAAATACAGTGGATGCCCGCTTAATGATCACCTCCCAATGCGACCAATTATGTAAGTGTATTTATGTAAGTGCATTTGTACGTGTATGTTTGGGGGTCTGAAATGGACTAATCTACTTCACAATATTCCTTATGGGAACAAATTCGGTCAGTACTGGCACCTGAACATACTTCTGGAATGAAAAAATATCGTTAACCGGGGGTCCACTGTAGTACCATTTTGCTGCCTTATAAATTGTTTTCTCAAAGAGATCCTCTGCCCTACATATTGTTTTGTTTTAATCGTTTTCACTTTTTTTATATACATATGATAAATTATAATGCATCTTTTTTAGTTACTTGTATTATATGTAACATAAAATTTAACTAATTTACAAAGGAATGCCATCCTTGTAAAAGTTATGAAGTATCTGTTATTGATTTGTATACCCTGTATATACTGTATAGAGGGGTTGCAGTCACATGACTTAAGCAACGGGGTCCACCATTCTGCAGGTCATTATGCTGTTTTCGTTTAATAATCATCATACACCACATGAGGCAGGAATTTTTTTTTTATACAATGAACATGCCATTCAGACCCATTCTCTTATATCTAGGCCAAAATTTACTGCTCACAGCTTATCTGAGTGAACTGAACTCTCATGACGAACCCCAGTGTCAGTAATGTATTCTACATGATGGAAAGTGAAAAAAAAAATCCCAAACAAATCTCTCTTGTCTTATACAACCTTACCTTAAATTATTTTAAAGTTTTTGTTTACTGTGCATAAATGTTTATTGAGTCTATATAATTACAGTGTAGTAATATTCGTTGCCACTTCTCATTCTCTAGATTAACATGCAGGCATGAAATGTGTTGACAGGACTGCTTGCAATTAAGAGAGCAACATTTTTTATATTTGATCTGTGTGTTATTACATCAAAGTTTAAATCTTGTTCTCATTACAGATTCAAGTAGTTTTGAGCCTTCTAAGCTGATTATTAACAAGGTTGATGATGATGAAATCAAATCTCATGGTGAAGATGCTGTAGCATCTGTAGTTGAGAGGACTGATGACAGTGAATTGGCAGAAGATGAGCTTGAACATTTGCTGCCTAGTCAGCGACAAAAGCATCACAGTGATCTGTTATTAACCAAGATCTCTGAATCTCAAACAACACATGACGTACTATATACTTATAAACGTCATCGAGATGTCATGAATGTACGCCACTATCTGGAAACGCTGAAACAACTAAGCAATCTTGTTTGTAAAGGGTAAGTCATCATAGTCTGTATAGAAGAAAATAAATGGTATAAAATACCGACACAATGGAAACATAAACACATATGCAGTTTAATGTGATCCTTTATTGGCAACGTTTCACCCACACAGTGGGCTTTTTCAAGTCACACACACATCTACTTGGGGTGGAAGGTACGGGAGTATTTATAGTCAGGTTCAGAATGTTGAGGTCAGGTAGAGAATGCTGCATCTGATGATCTACCGGGTTGGGTTATAGAGTTTTGGGTAGCTTGGCAGGGGTATTGGACAAGTTGTGAGTAGACCTTCTGCAGTGTTCTGTGTTCTTATGTGGGATAGCGATGAAGAAGTTTCTTGGCGAGTGGTTCAACTGTTATAGAAGCCGTTGTTCTGGTTGAAATTGTTGGTTATAGAGATAAGCGATGATTCCAGGATTCTTCGGTATTGAGTGTTGTCTTCTGTGGCCTAAGCCCTCAGCTCAGGCTTCTGAGGCCTAAGCCCTCAGCTTAGGCCTCAAATTCGCAACAGGAATTACGAAACCAAAACAAGACCTCAATTTCATCGCCAAAAACTACAGCCACAATGACTCCGACTTCCAAAAAGGTTTTCTTCAAGGCATCATCTCAGCAGCCATCTCTACATGCAGCTCCCCAGTCATACCTCGACGTTACATCATTGCACTTAAAGGTTTAGCAGAAGACACGACCATCAGGGTCACCACCGCTGATAAAGGAGGTGGTGTTGTTATCATGAACACTGACGACTACAGGAACAAAATGCTCAATCTACTTAATGACCCAGATACCTACAAACCCCTCACAACTAACCAAGTGGACAACCTTACTAAAACTTTTCTTCAAAGGACTTGCCGCAGTCTGAGGAACTCAGAACAAGGGAAGAAACTTCTGCACACCAGACCTGCCAGAATGTACGGCCTACCAAAAACTCACAAGCCTGGTATCCCATTGAGGCCCATATCTTTGGGAATAGGCAGTGCTCCCCACCAACTCTCGGGAATTCTCGCAAAACACCTCTCCAAACTCTTGGGCACTATCAGTCCAGCACATCTCAAACACTCGGGTGATCTTCTCAATCGCATTTGCAACATCAACATCAGGAACAAGAAACTTTCCAGCCTTGACGTAACTTCCCTATTCACCAAAGTACCTACTACACAAGCCATCGATCTCCTGCGCAGAAAAATTGACGATTCACTTGATCTTCCTATTCCAGCCAGCGATTTCATCGACCTCGTTGAACTATGTGTCGGCTTTACATGTTTCTCTTTCGAAAATCACCTCTTTCAACAGACTTTTGGTCTACCCATGGGCTCGCCACTCAGTGCCGTCCTGGCGAACTTATACATGGAACATCTGGAAGCCGAGCATTTCTCCACCAGTATTCCTTCGACTGTCACCTGGCTCCGTTATGTTGACGACATTCTCCTCATAACTCCCAGGCGCTTCAACGTTCAAGCTCTCCAAGACAAGCTCAACCAGGTCGAGCCCTCAATCCAGTTCACACTTGAAGAAGTTGACAACACTCTTCCTTTCCTTGATGTTCTCTGCAAAACTGACCATGAACTTCATTTTAAAGTTTATCGAAAACCAATCAACCAAAACGATCTTCTCCACTTCTACTCACACCACGACACCAAAACTAAACGTGGTGTAATTATAGGCTTCTTCCTGCGCGCACTCAGAATCTGCAGCAATGAGTTCCTTGAGGAAGAATGCACTATAATTGAACAAGTATTTTCTAAACTCCACTATCCTCGTCACTTCATCAGAGACTGCAGACAGTGGGCATTAAACATCTTCAACACACCCAGAGAAGACACTGCCGAGAAGAGATACATAGTCCTCCCCACCAACTCCATTGCCAAACATGTTTCCGACATCTTTTCCAATACATCATTCCATGTATCTACCTCCACAACCACGACCATCAAGGACATCACCAGTAGTTGACAGGACAAGCTTCCATCCTCTGCAGGGGTATACATAATCCCTTGTAATGACTGCAACAAATTATATGTGGGGGAAACATCAAGAGACCTCCAAACACATATTTCAGAACACCAATACGCAAGCAGGACTGACGATACAAGGAATGTCTGTGTACAACATCGCAATTCACACAACCATTTAACTACAGAAACTCAAGACTTATCACCACAGAAGACAACACTCAATGCCAAAGAATCCTGGAATCTTCGCTTATCTCTATAACCAACAATTTCAACCAGAACAACGGCTTCTATAACATAGCTGAACCACTCGCCAAGAAACTTCTTCATCGCTATCCCACATAAGAACATAGAACACTGCAGAAGGTCTACTCACAACTTGTCCAATACCCCTGCCAAGCTACCCAAGACTCTATAACCCCACCCGGTAGATCATCAGATGCAGCATTCTCTACCTGACCTCAACATTCTGAACCTGACTATAAATACTCCCGTACCTTCCACCCCAGGTAGATCTGTGTGTGACTTGAAAAAGCCCAATGTGTGGGTGAAACGTTGCCAATAAAGGATCACATTAAACTGCATATGTGTTTATGTTTCCATAGTCTGTATAGATTAAAAATTTTACTGTATCGTTCTTTCTCTATCTTGTGTATTTTCACTAATTGTTCAAATCATGAAGCTGGTGGGGCTTGAACCATGGCAATCGTGTTATTACAATTTCATGAGTGACAAATTATTGAGGTTGTGTTTTCCTGTTTTTAGACCATTGTATATACTCTGTAGTCCTATCTCATTTTCTATTATCTCGCTCATTGAGGTTTTTAAAGTTACTGGGGTACCTGTAGGGAGCTGTGGAAATTTGGAGGACACTTTTACTATTTCCAGTCTGATGTACAATATGTTTTTAACTGATGCAGGATATTTTAACCTTTTGTGATTGTATTTACTGTATTTATATACTGAGTGTTGAATGATGATGAAAGTATTTTCTTTTTGGGGATTTTCTTTCTTTTTGGGTCACCCTGCCTCGGTGGGAGACGGCCGACTTGTTGAAAAAAAAAAAAATATACTGAGTGTGTATATAATTCAACACCTCTCTGATACATATGCTGTAATAAATTTTTCTTTCTGGTAATTTTGGAAAACTTGATTATAGAAATTTTTTTTGTATAAAGTGTAATTTCTAGTTGAAAATTGTTAGAGAGAACCATAATAATTGTTAGAGAGAACCATAATAAGAATGCTAAGTGTATGATGATGCTTGGTACAGGTTCTTTATTGATTACCTTGCTGTACAGTGGAGAAAGAATATATCAGATTAATAGTTTAAATTTTTTTTTTTTTTAACAAGTCGGCCGTCTCCCACCAAGGCAGGGTGACCCAAAAAGAGAAAATCCCCCCAAAAAGAAAATACTGTATTTTCATCATCATTCAACACTTTCACCTCACTCACACATTATCACTGTTTTTGCAGAGGTGCTCAGAATACAACAGTTTAGAAGCATATATGTATAAAGATACACAACATATCCCTCCAAACTGCCAATATCCCAAACCTCTCCTTTAAAGTGCAGGCATTGTACTTCCCATTTCCAGGACTCGAGTCCAGCTATGTAGTTTAAATGTCCGAATTATTTTGGAGCTTTATGCTATTATGTGTTTACTTTATTTTCAAATTAATTTTTGTGAGATCATTTGCAAAATTATTTTTTTACATATATTTTATTTTAAGAACTGAAAGTGGAGCCATACTAATGAAACAGAAGATTTTCGGGATCTCTGCCACGAAATATATAGATCCACACGACGGATGGAACTTGATGAATTGATGTCTACACTGAAATATCTGTGTAGATTAGAAGTGCCTTCAGAGTCTAAACTTATCCAGAGTGTACTGCAGGTTTGTTTGCATGAATGTACTATGTCATATATTTTAGTGTTATTTGGCTCTCTCTTTCAACATAAATAATTATTAATCCAGTAATATTTTGTTTCCAATCTAGAAAGCCTGGTCTGAGACTGGGCTTTGAAGATAATCTGCAAGATCCATTGACAGGTAACATAACCATGAATAATGAAGTGGTCTAGCAATGTGAAAGAAGTGATATGCTCCCAATTCTCTATGTATGTTAAGGATTCCCATACAGAAATTACAATAGCAAATGCTTTAGTCTGTATGCAAAACTATAGTTATTCCCTATAAAATGTATTTTTTGTTAATATTTTTGGGTGTCTAGGTAGTAGGTTGGTAAACAGCACCCGCCCAGGGAGGTACTACCGTCCTGTCAAGTGAATGTACAACGAAAGCCTGTAATTGTTTTACATGATGGTAGGATTGCTGGTGTCTTTTGTCTGTCTCATAAACATGCAAGATTTCAGGTATGTCTTGCTACTTCTACTTGCATTTAGGTCACACTACACATATATGTACAAGCATATATATATACACACAAACCCCTCTGGGTTTTCTTCTATTTTCTTTCTAGTTCTTGTTCTTGTTTATTTCCTCTTACCTCCATGGGGAAGTGGAACAGAATTCTTCCTCCGTAAGCCATGCGTGTTGTAAGAGGCGACTAAAATGCCGGGAGCAAGAGGCTAGTAACCCCCTCTCCTGTATATATTATTAAATTTAAAAAGAGAAACTGGTTTTTTCTTTTGGGCCACCCCACCTCAGTGGGATACGGCTGGTGCGTTGAAAGAAAGATTTTTGGGTGTCTGGAATGGATTAATTGGATTTACATTATTTCTTATAGGAAATATTAACAAAAAATACATTTTATAGAGAATAACTATAGTTTTCCTAGGTAGTAGGTTGGTAGACAGCAACCGCGCAGGGAGGTACTACCGTCCTTCCAAGTGAGAGTAAAATGAAAACCTGTAATTGTTTTACATGATGGTAGGATTGCTGGTGCCTTTTTTCTGTCTCATAAACATGTAAGATTTCAGGTACGTCTTGCTACTTCTTCTTACACTTAGGTCACACTACACATACATGTACAAGCATATATATACACACCCCTCTGGGTTTTCTGCTATTTTCTTTCTAGTTCTTGTTCTTGTTTATTTCCTCTTATCTCCATGGGAAAGTGGAACAGAATTCTTCCTCCGTAAGCCATGCATGTTGTAAGAGGCAACTAAAATGCCGGGAGCAAGGGGCTAGTAACCCCTTCTGTATAAATTACTAAATTTGAAAAGAGAAACTTTTGTTTTTCTTTTTGGGCCACCCTGCCGGTTTGTTGAAAAAAAAAAAAAAGCTATAGATTTCCTAGGTAGTAGGTTGGTAGACAGCAACCGCCCAGGGAGGTACAGTGGTCCCTCGTTTATCGCAATTAATCCGTTCCTGGAAGTGTGACTATTATCGAAATTTACAATTTTCGAATCAATTTTCCCCATAAGAAATAATGTAAATACAATTAATCTGTTCCTGACACCCAGAAGTACTAAAACAAAAAATTTTTTACATGATATATAGATGTAGTACATAAACAATACAATGGGACATGATGAATGAAACATTAACAGCATAACACTTACCTTTATTGGTGATTCTTCTTAGTGTATGGAAGACTGGAAGATGAGACAAATTGCATTAGTTACTCTTTGGAAGGGGAATCCCCTTCCATCAACACCTCAGGCACCAAGTGCTTTTCTGGGGTTACTTCTCTTCTCTGTTTCTTAATGCCACTAGGACCACCTTGAGAGTCACTGGAGCCCTGTCTAGCAAAATAACTGTCCAGAGAGCTCTGTTTCTGGCATCTCTTTAAAACTTCCCTAAAATGGGCCAAGACTTTGTCACTGTACATGTTGCCAACATGGCTTGCAACAGCCTTGTCAGGGTGATGTTTCTCCATAAATTTTTCCATCTTACCCCACATTTCAAAAATCTCCTTAATTTCTGAAGGAAGCAACTTCTTCCATCTCTCTTCCTCCTCTGCAGCAAGATTCTGAGCTGCGATCTGTTGATCTTCCTGCTGAAGCTCTTGCAGCTCCTCAGTGGTGAGCTCTTCATTGTGGTCTTCCACCAACTCTTCCACATCCTCCAAACTCACATCCAACCCCATGGAACTCCCAGTGCCACAATGGATTTAACAACTGACATAGGCTCATCAGAGTCAGCCCCAAACCCTTCAAAATCCCTCTTGTGGACACAATCTGGCCACAATTTTCTCCAAGCAGAGTTCAAAGTCCTGGTAGTCACTCCCTCCCAAGCCTTACCTGTAAGCCTTATGCAATGGAGAATACTGAAGTGTTCTTTCCAAAAATCTCTTAGGGTCAAGTGAGTGTCTGAGGTCACATTAAAGCACCTTTGAAACATTGCTTTGGTGTAGAGTTTTTTAAAGTTTGCAATGACCTGCTGGTCCATGGGCTGGAGGAGAGGAGTGGTATTTGGGGGGCATGAACTTTACTGTGATGAACCCAAACTTCTGCAGAATTAGGTCATCCAAGTTTGGAGGATGAGCAGGTGCATTGTCCATTACTAGGAGGCACTTGAGATCCAATTTCTTTTCCAGGAGGTAATTCTTCACACTAGAGCCAAACACTTCATTGAACCACTCGACGAAAATTTCCCTCGTGACCCATGCCTTACTATTAGATTTCCAAAACACACACAATTTACTCTTCATAACATTGTTTTTCCTGAACACTGGGATTTTCAGAATGGTACACTAGTAATGGCTTCACTCTGAAATCCCCACTAGCATTAGCACAGAACATGAGCGTCAGCCTGTCTTTCATAGGCTTGTGTCCTTGCAGTCCCTTTTCCTCCTGAGTAATGTAGGTCCTCTTTAGCATTTTCTTCCAAAAGAGGCCTGTTTCATCACAATTGAGCACTTGTTCAGGTTTCAGTCCTTCAGCCCCTATGTACTCCTCGAATTCCTGCACATATTTTTCAGCTGCTTTTTGGTCCGAACTGGCAGCCTCACCATGCCTTACCACACTGTGTATGCCACTACGGTTCTTAAATCTCTCAAACCAACCTTTGCTGGCCTTAAATTCACAAATATCAGTACTCGTTGCAGGCAATTTCTTTACCAGATTGTCGTGCAACTGCCTAGCCTTTTCACAAATAATCGACGTCATAAGACTATCTCCTGCTAATTGTTTCTTGTTTATCCACACCAATAATAACTTCTCAACCTCTTCGAGTACTGGTGATCTCATTTTTGTCAGCATATTTACCCCCTTTGCAACAACAGCTTACTTGATTTCCTTTTTCTTGGCCACGATGGAAGCTACGGTTGTATGGGGTTCGTTGTACATCCTGGCCAGTTCGGCCATACGTACGCCACTTTCATATTGTTCAATGATGATTTTCTTAAATTCAATCGTATTTCTCACCTCTTTACCAAAGGCTTGGCACTAGGAGCTTTCTTTGGAGCCATGGTAGCTTATTTAGTAGTTGCAAGCACTAAAATGGAATATTATGAAATATTTCGTATGAGCAAGTGAGGGGACCGTCGCTCATTGGTAAACAATGGCACACTGGCTGGAAAGGGAGGCAGGGGCGACTCAGAGCGTGAGTATGTGTCCCAGACGAAAGACTATTCGTGAGTCAAACTACGAATAGCGAGCCAATGTTTTGACGAAAATATTGTTACAATTTTCAAAAAATTACGACTATCGAGCCTTACGATTATCGAGGGACCACTGTACTACCGTCCTGCCAAGTGAGCATAAAACGGAAACCTGTAATTGTTTTACATGATGGTAGGATTGCTGGTGTCTTTTTTCTGTCTCATAAACATGCAAGATTTCAAGTACATCTTGCTACTTCTTCTTACACTTAGGTCACACTATACATACATGTACAAGCATAAATATATATACACACACACCCCTCTGGGTTTTCTTCTATTTTCTTACTAGTTCTTGTTCTTGTTTATTTCCTGTTATTCCATGGGGAAGTGGATCAGAATTCTTCCTCCGTAAGCCATGCATGTTGTAGGAGGCGACTAAAATACCAGGAGCAAGGGGCTAGTAAACCCTTCTCCTGTATATATTACTAAATGTGGAAGGAGAAACTTTTGTTTTTCCTTTTGGGCCACCCCGCTTTGGTGGGATACGGCCGGTGTGTTGAAAGAAAGAAGAACTATAGTTTTACATACAGACTAGGGCATATGAAAACCAAGGTTCTACTGTACTGACACACCCTTCCTGAACCTCTGAAGTCACTGTTTATCTCTGCTTTATTTTAAACATATCCACTGTTTCTTGCTAAAGTAATGTAACCCAAAGAAGGAAACACTTTATCATCACTCCTCTAGCTGTTTTCCAGGAGTGCACAGATATCACAGTTCAAATGACTAACTAAACTGCAACTTCCCCCACCCACCCATTGTTCAGAGTGCAGGCACAGCTTATCCCACCTCCTAAGCACGAGTCTGGCTAACTGATTTCCTGAAATCTCTTCAAAAATGTTAGCTTCACATTTCAGTCACTGGTATTTATCTAAAATTCCTTACTAGTAACCTGATAATTTTCATCATTTTAGCCAGTTGTTAAGAAAATGATGCATCCTTTTCTACTTGGAAATAGACATATAGAAACCATACCCCCGGCCGGGATTGAACCCGCGGTCATAGAGTCTCAAAACTCCAGCCCGTCGCGGGTTCAATCCCGGCCGGGGGTATGGTTTGTTTGCATCGTGTCATTACGATTTCTCGAGTCATGCAGACATATAGAAATAATACAGTGGGATAAAAAGAGCTAATAGCATTTGTTTATAATTTATACTGCACAGTATAAATTTCAAGTACTTCTTTAAAAGTATTTTGCATGCTATCCTCACCAGTTACTGACTTAAAAATTGTTTAAATGTTATTCTTTTCATTCCTGACTGTTATTGTTTTCTTGAGATGGGTAATAGCACTGGAAAACCCATAAGAGTTTAATATTTTTGTGAATATAATAATGAATACTGAGTACATGTTGATAACTGTAATGAGTGCAGGTCAGTATATGTTGTTAAATGTTACCTAATAGTTTATGTGGAATTAGGTAAGATTAACATCATAAATATGTACTCTTTTTGAAATATATGAAATTGTAAAAAAAAAAAATAGCTCAGTGGGAGCCAGTAATTTCCTTTAAATAATGTAATGAAAGTAAAATTGGCTGTTGATATTCTAGTGTTTGGTGATTATATTTCCATACACTGCCAATGTTTTTGCTTTGCAGATGTTGAAATATTACATCAATGATCTGGAATTAAGACAATTGATCTTCCTGGAGTTTTTATTGAAGAAGATGCCTTTGACAACACTATCTGATGCTCTACGAACAGCACTTCCAATATTAATTGAAAATTGCCTCAAACCAGAAACTTTGGTCAACTTGTCATTGATGGACCTTTCACAAGTAAGATTTGTTAGAAACTAATTTAAACTTCATGAATTTACTACTTAGGTCACACTACACATACATGTACAAGCATAAATATATATACACACACCCCTACGGGTTTTCTTCTATTTTCTTACTAGTTCTTGTTCTTGCTTATTTCCCCTTATCTCCATGGGGAAGTGGACCAGAATTCTTCCTCTGTAAGCCATGCGTGTCATAAGAGGCGACTAAAATGCCCGGAGCAAGGGGCTAGTAACCCCTTCTCCTGTATATATTACTAAATTTGAAAGGAGAAACTTTCGTTTTTCTTTTTGGGCCACCCCACCTCTGTGGGATACGGCTGTTACGTTGAAAGAAGAAGAAGTACTGCATACAAATTAGAGTACTGTATCTAAAGTAACAAAAACCATACAATGTTAAATTTTAGTTTATTATTTAAAAGTATAATCCATTGTTGTGCTATGCTATATTAGAGTAAAATATACTGGAAGAGGTTTTATCTGCAAGGGTCTTGAACATACAGCAGGCACTTGTGAGTGTGTTAAGAGTGAATGAAGGCGAATGGTTTTCGAGATTTGACAACCTATTGGAGTGTGAGCTGGGTAATATTTTGTGAAGGGATTCAGGGAAACTAGTTAGCCAGACTTGACTCCTGGAGGTGAGAAGTACAATGCCTGCACTTTAAAGGAAGGGTTTTGGGATATTGGCTGTTTGGAGTGATCTCTGAACTGTCATATCTGGGTGCTTCTACAAAGACAGTGATTATGTGTGAATGATGGTGAAAGTGTTTCTTTTTTGGGTCACCCTGCCTTGGTGGGAGATGGCCAACATGTTAAAAAAAAAAATGGTATATTTTTGCATAAAAATTAATAGATTTCTTGTATTTCATTGCAGATTCTTTCCATTTGTGTTCATGGTAAGGTCCGTAACACAGGAATGGTATTAAAAGAAATATACAAGCGGGGCAGAATTGACAAACCATCTTTGGCCATGACTTTCATCTGGAACCTGTCAGATATCCACATCAAATGGGAAAAGATGATATTACTCACTAAGGAAGACATCTTGACTCGGGAGGTTTTAATAAAAGAATGTATAGAAACACTTTCTAGGGATATCTCATCCTTGACTCAGCAACAGGTTTGTTAATACATGTATAATTACAGTTTTACCTCTTGTGTTTATGCTGCCAATTATTACATAATTTATTGAATTTAATGATTACTTTCTAAAATTCATGAGTGTTGGACATCCCATTTGTACACTTTTAGCAGATTGCTTAATATAAGATTTTGGTTGATGGAGACAGAAAGATGTTCCTAATTAAGCCAGCCTCCTCCTTTCCATTGGATCTATGTAATACAGGAATATTTCCTATTATAGTGATATACAACCTCTCCTCACTTAATGACAGAGTTCCGTTCCTAAGACCACATCAGTAAACGAATTCGTCACTCAGTGAGGAGCATACTATAATGGTGGTGGGTTTGTGTCAGCCATCTTTGATATTGTTTTAATGTCACCTTTGCCCCATTTATAAAATTTCTAGTATAAATTTAAGTTTTTGTGTGTAAAATAACAAGGCAAGGGGGAGCAAGGGGCTAGTAACCCCTTCTCCTGTATAAATTACTAAATTTAAAAAGAGAAACTTTCGTTTTTCTTTTTGGGCCACCCTGCCTTGGTGGGATATAGCCAGTTTGTTGAAAAGAAAGAAGAACAAGGCAAGGAAACCGGTTAGCCTGACTTAGGTCCTGGAAGTAGGAAGCACTCACAGTAAAAACAAACCTTTTCCTAAATACGACATTTCACTACAAGAGGGTTTATCAAACTCTTGATAAAGCCTCGTGTAGGGAAATATATTTAAGAAAAGTCTGCTTTTTCTGCTTGCTTTCTGCCGGCCCTAGATGCTTGCCACTGACATTTAGCAGTGCTACCTAGCCGCAAAGTACTGGTTTGGATTAAGGCTTTTGTAGGCTTTCACATTCTTTCCAGTGTAGGAGGAGATATTGTTTACTGTGTTGTTATATAAATCATGAGTTTATCTCATGGCTTATCAATACAAGTTCTCATGGAGTTGCATCTAATATGTCTGACCAGTGTAAATCAACTGACTTAAGTCACGTAACTGCAAAACTTCATTAGCAAGATATACAGTACAGAACTGACTCACGAAACCGTAATGACATGATTGCAAACAAACCATACCACGGGTGGGGATAGAACCCACGATCAGAGTCTCAAAACTCCAGACCGTCGCATTAGCCACAGAATGTACAGAACGTACGGAACGTTCAAAAATTGGCAAAACATTATGAAATATCAAGAATACTGTAGAACATGTAGCAGTACAACAGAATTCTAATTATACATATATCCACATCAGGCTTGTCAAGGTTGTTTGAATATTTTGATAAAGTTATAAGAAGAGGTATCCATGACCCATTTTCAATCATGTGCTTGAGATTTCAGTTTAGGATCTTACGTACACTGAAAGTGTTAAACTTTTGGTATTCTAGGTAATGAAAAATATTTATTTCAATATGGCTTCCTTTTTTCAGGTTGAGGCAACATTATCAAAATTATGCGAGGCTTATGAAAAACGTGACATTTGCTGTTACAATGAACATTTTCTTCAAGCTGTTTCAGACTTCATTGTTCATGAAAAGCTTGGTTTTGTGAAAGTTGCCATTTTATTAGAAAATTTTTGAAAATGGTAAGTTTTGCAAGCATAATATTTTACTGATTTTTTTTTATATAATTTCTGTGACTTATTCCCTGCAGAGATAAAGATTGATGTTTCTTGTTAAAGATTCTTTTATGACTGTTACATGCTTGAGAAATGCAATTCTCTATAATTAAAAGATTGATCCTCTTAGGCTCATAATAATCTTTAACTAACCTGACATTCCTTGTTTTTCTATCATCTATATATATAAACAGGAGATCAAAACTTAGTCAAGATTTATATTATTTAATATACACCTACCGTCCGACTTACGACCGAGTTCGGTTCCGAGAAACCGGTCGTAAGTCGAAATGGTTGTAAGTCGAACTTTACTATTGAATATCAACAAAACATTTTTGTAATGACTTTATTTTATTGTTTTATTTTGGCATTTCATGTTTTACTTTACTTTTTATGCTGTTAGTACTGTATTTTATACTGTAAGGTTTAGGATAAACACTGTGTACAACACAAATAGTTGTTTATTACCCAGAAATTTGGCATAAAAAACACGGTTGTAAGTCGAGTGGCCGTAAGTCGAGCAGGTCGTAAGTCGGATGGTAGGTGTACAAGTATTGATACCTTATTTTTAGTTAGGGTTATAATTTAATTAGGGTTATAATTGAAAGAATTAGAGGTAAGACAGAATGTAGGATTCCGGATGAGCAAGGAGGTTTCAAGTGGGTAGGGGATGTGTAGATCAAGTGTTTACATTGAAGCATGTATGTGAACAGTATTTAGATAAAGGTAGAAAGGTTTTTATTGCATTTATGGATTTAGAAAAGGCATATGATAGAGTGGATAGAGGAGCAATGTGGCAGGTGTTGCAAGTACTATATGGAATAGGTGGTAAGTTACTAAATGCTGTAAAGAGTTTTTATGAGGATAGTGAGGCTCAGGTTAGGGTGTGAAGAAGAGAGGGAGACTACTTCCTGGTAAAAGTAGGTCTTAGACAGGGATGTGTAATGTTACCATGGTTGTTTAATATATTTATAGATGGGGTTGTAAAAGAAGTAAATGCTAGGGTGTTGGGGAGAGGGGTGGGATTAAATTATGGGGAATCAAATTCAAAATGGGAATTGACACAGTTACTTTTTGCTGATGATACTGTGCTTATGGGAGATTCTAAAGAAAAATTGCAAAGGTTAGTGGATGAGTTTGGGAATGTGTGTAAAGGTAGAAAGTTGAAAGTGAACATAGAAAAGAGTAAGGTGATGAGGGTATCAAATGATTTAGATAAAGAAAAATTGGATATCAAATTGGGGAGGAGGAGTATGGAAGAAGTGAATGTTTTCAGATACTTGGGAGTTGACGTGTTGGCGGATGGATTTATGAAGGATGAGGTTAATCGTAGAATTGATGAGGGAAAAAAGGTGAGTGGTGCATTGAGGTATATGTGGAGTCAAAAAACGTTATCAATGGAGGCAAAGAAGGGAATGTATGAAAGTATAGTAGTACCAACACTCTTATATGGATGTGAAGCTTGGGTGGTAAGTGCAGCAGCGAGGAGACGGTTGGAGGCAGTGGACATGTCCTGTCTAAGGGCAATGTGTGGTGTAAATATTATGCAGAAAATTCGGAGTGTGGAAATTAGGAGGTGTGGAGTTAATAAAAGTATTAGTCAGAGGGCAGAAGAGGGGTTGTTGAGGTGGTTTGGTCATTTAGAGAGAATGGATCAAAGTAGAATGACATGGAGAGCATATAAATCTATAGGGGAAGGAAGGCGGGGTAGGGGTCGTCCTTGAAAGGGTTGGAGAGAGGGGGTAAAGGAGGTTTTGTGGGCGAGGGGCTTGGACTTCCAGCAAGCGTGCGTGAGCGTGTTAGATAGGAGTGAATGGAGACGAATGGTACTTGGGACCTGACGATCTGTTGGAGTGTGAGCAGGGTAATATTTAGTGAAGGGATTCAGGAAAACCGGTTATTTTCATATAGTCGGACTTGAGTCCTGGAAATGGGAAGTACTATGCCTGCACTTTAAAGGAGGGGTTTGGGATATTGGCAGTTTGGAGGGATATGTTGTGTATCTTTATACATATATGCTTCTAAACTGTTGTATTCTGAGCACCTCTGCAAAAACAGTGATAATGTGTGAGTGTGGTGAAAGTGTTGAATGATGATGAAAGTATTTTCTTTTTGGGGATTTTCTTTCTTTTTTGGGTCACCCTGCCTCGGTGAGAGACGGCCGACTTGTTGAAAAAAAAAAAAATGAACTGTTGGGGTTCCTCTAAGTTCTTGTCAAAATAGTACAGGACATTACTTTCATATACTTAGTCTCCACATAATCAGACTTATGAAATGATTATAATCTAAATAAGACATTACATTACACAGATCCAAAGTAATTCAATTAACACAGACATAGTATGTCACATAGATCAGACAATCTTAAAAAACCTAGTACACTAGGATTTTAATGTCCTATCAGAGAGTTTTGGTATACACAGTAGAATGAATTAACTTGATCGTAATCCACTTGGGTATAGATTTCTCCTTATACACTGGTAACCCAACTACATGTGCAGGCTAAGTTCAAGCCTCCAATGCTCCATAGTGTAAGTACAGCTAGTATGTTTTCTATCTGAGTATAGACCTCTCAATGCAGGTAAGAGAGAGACTAGACAATACTGACCATTAATCTTCCTTACATCCTCCGTTGTCTCGTACAAGAGACCAACGTTCTCTCTCTTTAATCAACTGAAACAATGGCTTAATGTCTTATATAAAATTACAAGACCTTAACAGGAAGGAGTATACTACTCCTCCTTAAGAGGGTTTGTGTGTGCAGTACTGGGTACCTTGAACATACTGCCTGTGATCGTGGCCAGTACCGACCACATCAGGTGGGTCACGTAATTCAATAAACAGCGGGTGTCAACCTCAGATGCCACAAACCAGCAATACTCTTGAATTGTCCAATGATAGTTACGTAGTTCTCCATGGGGAAGTGGAACAGAATTCTGCCTCCGTAAGCCATTCATGTCATAAGAGGCGACTAAAATGCCGGGAGCAAGGGGCTAGTAACCCCTTCTCCTGTATATATTACTAAATTTGAAAATAGAAGCTTTCGTTTTTCCTTTTGGGCCACCCCACCTCAGTGGGATACAGCTGGTATGTTGAAAGAAGAAGTTACGCACTTATACATATCAATGAGACCACTACAAGACATATATGAATACACATACCCAATTCTCATTAGTTAAAAATACAGACATATGATGAAAGATGGATAGGATAATAGTATAATGATCCAACATCTTTGTTTTAGCTAATAACAAAGATACTAGAATGGTAGTATTATCAAAATGATGAAATAAATACGTAGTAGCGTGACAGTGACAATAGCTTGTGGGAGTGGTAAGTTACTTTAGATTTGATCAGTTAATAACACTATAAGTGGGTGGCCACAAATACATTAATATGTTGTCAGAAAAGAATGGAGTGAAACATCATGTTTACAAGAAGTTGGAAAAAGGATTGAGTTGGAAAATGGCTTGATGTAGAAAGGTAACAGAGAGGGAGAGGGCAGAAAGACACATAATAGAGAAGGATAAGGCCAAGGGCAAGATAGAAAGTAGGATGGATAAAAATTTGACATGATACATATTTCAACTGCCTGTTTTATTACATTGCATGTTATAAATTCTTTCAGAACTACCATTGCGAGAAGCTTACACATTACATGATGAACCTAGTGTTGGAATGCCCTCAAGATGTGCCTGATGCCAGAGTGGGTGTGATACCTTTGATTTCCTTTTTGTCTGCCTGTGACCAACACCCAAGTAACGTTAATGATGTTCTTGACATCCTCATGGACCATAAGTCAGTGAAACTTGATCCAGTAAGTTTCTATGTTAAAGATTTGTATCCCTAAACATACAGTTTTAGTATTTGTTTTAAACAGATTTCCTCTTCTGTTGATATATTTTTTAAGCAGTTCTGTTTGATAATGCATATATGTACAGTGGACCCCCACATTTCGGCGGCTGCGACTTTCGTGAAATCCGACTTTCAACAACTTTTTTCATCAAAATATAGCCTCGCAGTTCGTGATTGGCCTCGTGATTCGGCGACCATCTGGTACGCGTCCGAGCAGCATCCCAGCATCAGTGCACACACAAAGCCAGTCTCCTGCACCATTCACACTCAGTGTGCCATTATTTATCAGTGAGTGACCATCACCCCACAGATTTATACGATACATTTCATAATAATCCATTGTTTTTTGTACTTGCAATTGCTAAATAAGTCACCATGGGCCCACAGAAAGCTCCTAGTGGCAGACCTTTGGTAAAGAAGGAAAGAAACACAATAGAATTCAAGAAAAAAACTCATAGCAAAGTACCAAAGAGGAGGAGGAAGAGAGAGGGGAGAATGTGCCTTCTTCAGTGATTCTCCGATATGTACAATACTAAAGCAGCAGGTATCGATACAGGCTATAGCGCCAGCCAGTGATAAAGTGTAGCATTAACAGTGTAACAAGTAAGTTAAGCGATTAAGCGATAGAAAAATGACACGAAAGTAACTCTCCAACGTTGTTGGAGGTGTATAGAGCCACTGAACATATGCTGCCCTGCTGTCTTCCACCACCCTAAACCTCTGCCAGCATCTCCTCCATCAAACTAACTAATTAAACTAACTTCTTCTCCAAGGTAAGTGTAAATATTTCTTATTTATAAAGTGTAAATATTTCTTATTTATAAGCCTGTAATTGTTTTACATGATGATAGGATTGCTGGTGTCCATTTTTCTGTCTCATGAACATGCAAGGTTTCAAGTACATCTTGCTACTTCTGCTTATACTTAGGTCACACTACACATACATGTACAAGCATATAGTATATATACACCCCTCTGGGTTTTTCTTCTATTTTCTTACTAGTTCTTGTTTATTTCCTCTTACCTCCATGGGGAAGTGGAACAGAATTCTTCCTCTGTAAGCCATGCGTGTTGTGAGAGGTGACAAATGCCAGGAGCAAGGGGCTAGTAACCCCTTCTCTTGTATATATTACTAAATGTAAAAGAAGAAACTTGCGTTTTTCCTTTTGGGTCACCCCGCCTCGGTGGGATACGGTCGGTGTGTTGAAAGAAAGAAAGATTTCTTATTTATAAACTAAAGTGTAAATATTTCTTATTTATAGATTATGTACATTGTTTCAGCGTGAATAGTGGTGGTGGTTTCTGCTTCAGCCTCCACCATCACTAATATGTACAGTTTCTCTCAGGGGCCCTTATAAACCCAACAGCAACACCACCACCACTTACTCCTCACATACGTTATGACATACAGGTACCATCCAACTTAGGACGAAAGTTGGTTCCGACCAACCGGTCATAAGTCAAAATGAACTCAAGTCAAATCTTAGTACTGTATTTTATACCGTAAGGTTTAAGATAAACACTCTGTACAACACAAACTGTTGTTTATTTCCCAGAAATCTGGCATAAAAAACATGGTCATAAGTCGAGTGGTCGTATGTCGAGCAAGTCATAAGTTGGATGGTAGGTGTATTTTATTCATTTTAGAGTATATATCATGTTTCTATGTTGTTAATATTGTTTATTATGTCATATTAGATGAATTGTGATGGATAAATAAGCCAGGAGTGAACGATGGTGAAAGTTTTTCTTTTTCGGGTCACCCTGCCTTGGTGGGAATCGGCCAGTGTGTTAATAAAAAAAATGATAAATAAACCATAGAGATATTAGCATCATATTGAAGCATAATAAACTCACCTCCCTCTCCCCTCCTACCTGTCTTCCATACACCAACAAGAGTCTTCAATAAAGGTATGTGTGATATTAAATGTTCATTTATCTATTTTATTAGTGCTTTATATTTATGTATTTGTCATTATTTTCTGTATGTAAATCTATATTTAATCTTTAAAAAAAAATATTTTTTTGTTAATACTTTTGGGTGTCTGAAACAGATTAATTGAATTTCCATTATTTCTTATGCGGAAAATGGTTTCGCCAGTCATGATTTTCGCCGTTCAGCAGACTCTCTGGAATGGATTAATCACGAAACTCTGGGGTCCACTGTACACACTACATTTTCATCACGTTAATCTTTCACTCTTGTATTTTTTCCATGTTTCTTTTGACATTTCTAGTTGAATATGCATACTGTTCTCATCTCTTTTCATATCCTTGTTTGTATGTATAAACAAGGCATTACTTACCTAATAGCTCAATCAGATAAGTAATGTAAGTAATCGAAAATATCTTTAACATTTAGAGACAGTTAAAAGGTGTACTGTGTAGATTCTACTGGAGGTCACACTCCTAGGAGAAAGATGTTGCTTGAGGATATGAGTCATACCCTCAAGACTGTTTTTTGTTTCTTGCAGACATCGTTTTTTTTTATTTATATAACATTTGAAATATTGTTTTCAGGAAGATTTCTACAGAAAACCATTGCTTGTAATAAGCCAAGAGTTGCTCAGTCTTGGTTATTACCATCACACTCTGGTAAAAATAATAACCAATCCAGACAGCCTTAGACTGTGAGTATAAAAATTATTTGTTTTTTACATAATTAGATGGCACACACTCAATATGAGTCAGTAAATGTAGCTGACTGTAGAGTTAAATCAGTTGTCATCTGTACTTGCTTACAAAAATTCAGTTTGTGGTTGTAACCTCACTGCAGTTAATGTAATGGCAACAGTGTTAGGAGACTGCCATTTGGTCTTCATTTTTTCCTCTGAATTTTGCCCACCTGCAATACCAGTATGTATGATGAGTGTATTCAGTTAAAAATATAAACATTAACAGTGTAAGAGAAGTTGCAGATGTTAACCCTTTCACTTACTGAGTTACGCAAACGCAGAGTGAGTGATCTGGGCGTAATTTATGCATCGGCAATTTCACCCACTATGTGTTCCATTTTAAGTTGATTCCATTGCTACCTTTAAGCAAATTCTTAGCTCTCTTTTCTAGTATACCTTCTATTCTATCAATTGAGCACAGAAAACCATTCGTTTAACTACTACCCTATAAACTGCACAGAAGTTTGGAATTTGGCCAATTTTACACAAAATTAAAAAAATACCAATTTAAAGAGAGGCCAGAATAAACAATGTAGATGTTCCTGGCAGTAAAAAAACTTCTTCTCTTTATTAGTAATGGCCCCAGGCCTCTCCTATATTTCACTCCCCTTTTATTTTGAATTCTAAATCACGCAGTAACTGGTTCAGACCTGGTGGGGAGGGGCCTCACTCATCCTCAGGAAAATTGGCAAAAATAGAATACTTTTGCTTCTTTGAGCTCATTTTCAAGGTAATTTCTATCCTGAAACGAGCCAAAATCATCTCTATTGCAGTAGTATGTCTTCAAACCATAAACCATAGAATTGACAAAGGATAAAAGGTGGGTGGTGCAGTGAGGCATCTGTGAAAACTAGGAACTTTATCCATGGAGGCAATAAGGGAAATGTACCAGATTATAGTGGTACTAATACTGTTTTATGGGTGTGTAGTATAGGTTTTGATTGTTGCAGCAAGGAGAAGGTGGGAAGCAGTGATGTTGTGTTTGAAAATGTTTTTTTTTTTTTTTTTTTTCAACAAGTCGGTCGTCTCCCACCGAGGCAGGGTGACCCACAAAAAAGAAAGAAAATCCCCAAAAAGAAAATACTTTCATCATCATTCAACACTTTCACCACACTCACACATTATCACTGCTTTTGCAGAGGTGCTCAGAATATAACAGTTTAGAAGCATATACGTATAGAGATACACAACATATCCCTCCAAACTGCCAATATCCCAAACCCCTCCTTTAAAGTGCAGGCATTGTACTTCCCATTTCCAGGACTCAAGTCCGACTATATGAAAATAACCGGTTTCCCTGAATCCCTTCACTAAATATTACCCTGCTCACACTCCAACAGATCGTCAGGTCCCAAGTATCATTCGTCTCCATTCACTCCTATCTAACACGCTCATGCACGCTTGCTGGAAGTCCAAGCCCCTCACCCACAAAACCTCCTTTACCCCCTCTTTCCAACCCTTTCGAGGACGACCCCTACCCCTCTTTCCTTCCCCTATAGATTTATATGCTTTCCATGTCATTCTACTTTGATCCATTCTCTCTAAATGACCAAACCACCTCAACAACCCCTCTTCTGCCCTCTGACTAATGCTTTTATTAACTCCACACCTTCTCCTAATTTCCACACTCCGAATTTTCTGCATAATATTTACACCACACATTGCCCTTAGACAGGACATCTCCACTGCCTCCAACCGTCTCCTCGCTGCTGCATTTACCACCCAAGCTTCACATCCATATAAGAGTGTTGGTACTAAGATACTTTCATACATTCCCTTCTTTGCCTCCATAGATAACGTTTTTTGACTCCACATATACCTCAACGCACCACTCACCTTTTTTCCCTCATCAATTCTATGATTCACCTCATCCTTCATAAATCCATCCGCTGACACGTCAACTCCCAAGTATCTGAAAACATTCACTTCTTCCATACTCCTCCTCCCCAATTTGATATCCAATTTTTCTTTATCTAAATCATTTGATACCCTCATCACCTTACTCTTTTCTATGTTCACTTGAACTTTCTAAACCCTTTACACACATTCTCAAACTCATCCACTAACCTTTGCAATTTTTCTTTAGAATCTCCCATAAGCACAGTATCATCAGCAAAAAGTAACTGTGTCAATTCCCATTTTGAATTTGATTCCCCATAATTTAATCCCACCCCTCTCCCGAACACCCTAGCATTTACTTCTTTTACAACCCCATCTATAAATATATTAAACAACCATGGTGACATTACACATCCCTGTCTAAGACCTACTTTTACCGGGAAGTATTCTCCCTCTCTTCTACACACCCTAACCTGAGCCTCACTATCCTCATAAAAGCTCTTTACAGCATTTAGTAACTTACCACCTATTCCATAAACTTGCAACATCTGCCACATTGCTCCTCTATCCACTCTATCATATGCCTTGTGTGATGTGTGATGTGAATATTATTTGGAGAATTTGGAGTAGTTTCCAAATGTATTATTCAAGGGGCTAAGGAGAGGTTGTTGAGGTGGTATGCACACACAGAGAAGATTGAGCAAAATAGGATGACTAGGAAGCTGTATAAATTGGGTGGAGGGAAGGAAGGGTAGAGGACTGTCATAGGTAAGGTTGCAAGGAGGGGGGTAGAGGAGGTTTTTAGTGCTAGGGAATTGGACATCCAGCAGGCTTGTATATGTGTGTTAGAAGTGAGTGGAGGCAAGTTGTTTTTATGATTTGACATGGAGTGTAAGTAAAGTAACATATGAAAGGATTCAGGGAAATTGATTAGCCTGACTTGAGTCTTGGGGGTGAAATGTACAGTGCGTGCAATCAGGAGGGGTGGGGATGTTAAACTTTTGAAGGGTCATCTGACCTGTGATCTCAGCACCCTTCTAGCATGACAGTTATTGAGTGAGTGACAATGAAAGTGTTTTTTTTTTCTTTGTCGGGTCACCCTACCTCAGGACAAATAATGAAGTGTTAAAAAAAAAAGTTATGCAAAGCAGTTCAAGCAGACTAAATCTAGAACTTAAAATTATTTGATGTTGAATAGTTAGTCAGATTATGTAAATGCCATATTAAATGTAATTAGTTGCCTAAAGACTAGATTATCAGTACAAAGATAAATAACAAAACTCTTCATAAAACAGCAATGTTAATATGGAGGAATATTAACAAGAGTATAGTGGTACCAACACTCTTATATGGATGTGAAACATGGGTTGTAAATGCTGCAGCGAGGAGGCAGTTGGAGGCAGTGGAGATGTCATGTCTAAGGGCAATGTGTGGTGTAAATATTATGCAGAGAATTCGTAGTGTGGAAATTAGGAGGAGGTGTGGAGTTACTAAAAATATTAGTCAGAGGGCTCTTGAGATGGTTTGGTCATTTAGAGAGAATGGGAGGGAGTAAAAAAAAGTTGTGGGCGAGGGGCTTGGCCTTACAGCAAGTGTGCATGAGCGTGTTAGATAGGAGTGAATGAAGACGAATGGTTTTTGGGACCTAATGAGCTGTTGGAGTGTGAGCAGGGTAATATTTTGTGAAAGGATTCAGGGGAAACGGGTTAGCCGGACTTGAGTCCTGGAGATGGGAAGTACTATACCTGCACTTTAATCCTTTCACTGTCAAGACCTCTGATCCTGAAGTCCCACTCTGTGCTGAAAAATATTGGAAAAAAAAAAAATTTTCTTGCCAAAATCTTAAGAATATTTTTGTGAGCGTTTTAAAAGAAAAAAAATTTTTTGCAATCACTACTTACTAAGATATAGAGGCTTGAAGTTGACAGAAAGTGAACCGCTTACAGCAACAGTAGCGACTGCTGCTCACTCGGTAATATTATTTTTACTTTTATACTACTTTTTTCTCTTATTTTTTAATATTTTATTTTTTCATGTAACTTTTGTGGACTGTGAGACCAATATAGTGTATAATGTATGTATGTCCACTTGTTGTATGCAACACCATAACTGCACAAACATTGTTATCATTACATATAATCTTTACAAAACATGTTTACACAAACCAACAATAAAAAAAAGTTGTTTATTACTTTTGTTCTGTAATATGTATACACATATAGCCACTGGACACGTTCCCAGAACTGTTACAGCTTCTGGAATGTTGTTGTTGTGTGTGGGTTCTTTCTTTGTTGTGTGTGTGCTGACAGCAGCGTGTTTGGCGTCACAATGACGCATTAGCACCGCCCATTACCCATACCTTCCCCAACAAGCATGCGGTCTTCCCCACCACCCACATGGAAATAACTCACTTTGTCTGACTTTTTTTGGGTTATCCTAGGTTGATGGTCACCTGGGTTATCCTTCCTTCTGGTTTCCTGGGTATTGCTTTCAGTCACAAACTCTTCAAAACCATGAAATTCATCTTCCCTGACACTTACATCTGTGTTAGAGCTATCACTTGGGAAGAGAAGAGTCTCAGATTCGCCGGGGTGTCAGATATTTCTTACCACTAGGCATGCTGAACAAGGACTACTGAAATGGCGTTCCCACAATGCACCACTGGCTCCCTGATTTTTTTTTATACTGCACACACTGACCACACAGACCCATTTTCTCACATGTAGGCCTACCAGCTTTCTCCCACTAAACTTGAAGCTGCTAGAATTTTGGCGTATTAATACGTCGCGTATGACAGGGTGGATAGGGGGGCAATGTGGCAGATGTTGCAGGTGTATGGTATAGGAGGTAGGTTACTGAAAGCAGTGAAGAGTTTTTACGAGGATAGTGAGGCTCAAGTTAGAGTATGTAGGAAAGAGGGAGATTATTTCCCAGTAAAAGTAGGCCTTAGACAAGGATGTGTGATGTCACCATGGTTGTTTAATATATTTATAGATGGGGTTGTAAGAGAAGTAAATGTGAGGGTCTTGGCAAGAGGCGTGGAGTTAAAAGATAAAGAATCACACAAAGTGGGAGTTGTCACAGTTGCTCTTTGCTGATGACACTGTGCTCTTGGGAGATTCTGAAGAGAAGTTGCAGAGGTTGGTGGATGAATTTGGTAGGGTATGCAAAAGAAGAAAATTAAAAGTGAATACAGGAAAGAGTAAGGTTATGAGGATAACGAAAAGATTAGGTGATGAAAGATTGGATATCAGATTGAGGGAGAGAGTATGGAGGAGGTGAATGTATTCAGATATTTGGGAATGGACGTGTCAGCGGATGGGTCTATGAAAGATGAGGTGAATCATAGAATTGATGAGGGGAAAAGGGTGAGCGGTGCACTTAGGAGTCTGTGGAGACAAAGAACTTTGTCCTTGGAGGCAAAGAGGGGAATGTATGAGAGTATAGTTTTACCAAAGCTCTTATATGGGTGTGAAGCATGGGTGATGAATGTTGCAGCGAGGAGAAGGCTGGAGGCAGTGGAGATGTCATGTCTGAGGGCAATGTGTGGTGTGAATATAATGCAGAGAATTCGTAGTTTGGAAGTTAGGAGGAGGTGTGGGATTACCAAAACTGTTGTCCAGAGGGCTGAGGAAGGGTTGTTGAGGTGGTTCGGACATGTAGAGAGAATGGAGCGAAACAGAATGACTTCAAGAGTGTATCAGTCTATAGTGGAAGGAAGGCGGGTAGGGGTCGGCCTAGGAAAGGTTGGAGGGGGGGTAAAGGAGGTTTTGTGTGCGAGGGGCTTGGACTTCCAGCAGGCATGCGTGAGCGTGTTTGATAGGAGTGAATGGAGACAAATGGTTTTTAATACTTGACGTGCTGTTGGAGTGTGAGCAAAGTAACATTTATGAAGGGATTCAGGGAAACCGGCAGGCCGGACTTGAATCCTGGAGATGGGAAGTACAGTGCCTGCACTCTGAAGGAGGGGTGTTAATGTTGCAGTTTAAAAACTGTAGTGTAAAGCACCCTTCTGGCAAGACAGTGATGGAGTGAATGATGGTGAAAGTTTTTCTTTTTTGGGCCACCCTGCCTTGGTGGGAATCGGCCAGTGTGTTAATAAAAATAAAAAAAAAAAACACTGACTCGTAAGACGTATCTATATGGCACCAACATTAAAAGGGTTAAAGGAGGGGTTTTGGATATTGGCAGTTTGGAGGGATGTCTGAACTGTCATATCTGAGCGTCTCTGCAAAGACAGCGTTTATATATGAGTGATGGCAAATGTGTTGAATGATGATGACAGCTTTTTCTTTCTTTTTGGGTTTTTCTTTCTTTTTGGGGCACCCTGCCTCAGTGGGAAACAGCCAATGTGTTAAAAAAAAATTAACATAAAATGGCATCCAAATGCAGGTGTATTAAACACTTGCCAGTGGCACAAACAAATCTACATGGAGCCAGTGAAACAGTATTAGAATTTCCCCTTTTTTGAGCTCCATTTCAAGGTTCTTTTCATAGTAAAACCAATCAAAATCACCTCTATTTCTATGATATGTTTTCCATTCTGTCAAATGAGACCAAGAACACAAGAATACAACTATAAATACTATGTGAAAATAGACCACAAAATCGGCATTTTAATTAAAAAAAAAAGGTCGGAGTTTTTTTTTCTCATTATGCACTGCTTGCTGCAGTTTTTTTTGTATATATGGTGCACACTGACCACACAGACCCATTCTTTCGCAGCTTTCTCCTGCTTGATTTGAAGCCACTAGAATTTATGAATACGTTTTTTTTTTTTTTTCTCTCAACAAGTCGGCCGTCTCCCACCGAGGCAGGGTGACCCAAAAAGAAAGAAAATCCCCAAAAAGAAAATACTTTCATCTCATTCAACACTTTCACCTCACTCACACATAATCACTGTTTTTGCAGAGGTGCTCAGAACACAACAGTTTAGAAGCATAAACGTATAAAGATACACAACATATCCCTCATAAGACGTATATACGTATACGACCAAAACAGTCAAACGTTAAGGGTCAATGGACAGTTGACATTAGCAAACACCCTCTCCCTGTTATTAGTCTGTTAAATCATGGTTTCTCTGTACTGCAACATTTTCTCATGTATTTGCCCTTAAAATATTAAAGAGATACTTTAATTTCAGATACATGTCTAGATATGATAATGATAATACTAATCATAAGCGGTTGCTGGAAGTAGATGTGGCACTTGATAAGCTCTTCAATTCTACCGAGCGAGTTCCAGATATGTTCTTAGAAAACGGAAGAAGTTTATTGAGGAAGCAACTACCCTCCAAGTCGGGCCTGAAATCCATCCTTCATCAGATACTGGGTGAACCACAACCTCTTATCTCTGGCGTCCTTACAGACAGTTATATTTATATTGGTGAGTTAAGAGTAGCCTTTTAATTATACTGCAATGCTTGTTGTTCTTCTTTCAACACTCCGGCCGTATCCCACCAAGACAGGGTGGCCAAAAAGAAAAACAAAAGTTTCTCTTTTTAACTTTAGTAATGTGTACAGGAGAAGGGGTTATTGGCCCCTTGCTCTTTGCATTTTAGTTGCCTCTTATGACACACATGGATTATGGAGAAAGATTTATGTTCTACTTCCCCATGGAGATAAGACGAAATAAACAAGGACAAGAACTAGTAAGAAAAATAGAAGAAAACCCAGAGGGGTATGTGTATATATATGCTTGTACATGCATACGGTAGGGTTATAATTGAAAGAATTAGAGGTAAGACAGAATGTAGGATTGCGGATGAGCAGGGAGGCTTCAGAGTGGGTAGGGGATGTGTAGATCAAGTGTTTACATTGAAGCATATATGTGAACAGTATTTAGATAAAGGTAGGGAAGTTTTTATTGCATTTATGGATTTAGAAAAGGCATATGATAGTGGATAGAGGAGCAATGTGGCAGATGTTGCAAGTATATGGAATAGGTGGTAAGTTACTAAATGCTGTAAAGAGCTTTTATGAGGATAGTGAGGCTCAGGTTAGGGTGTGTAGAAGAGAGGGAGACTACTTCCCAGTAAAGTAGGTCTTAGACAGGGATGTGTAATGTCACCATGGTTGTTTAATATATTTATAGATGGGGTTGTAAAAGAAGTAAATGCTAGGGTGTTCGGGAGAGGGGTGGGATTAAATTATAGGGAATCAAATTCAAAATGGGAATTGACACAGTTGCTTTTTGCTGATGATACTGTGCTTATGGGAGATTCTAAAGAAAAATTGCAAAGGTTAGTGGATGAGTTTGAGAATGTGTGTAAAGGTAGAAAGTTGAAAGTGATTTAGATAAAGAAAAATTGGATATCAAATTTGGGAGGAGGAGTATGGAAGAAGTGAATGTTTTCAGATACACGTACTTGGGAGTTGACGTGTCGGCAGATGGACTTATGAAGGATGAGGTTAATCATAGAATTGATGAGGGAAAAAGGTGAGTGGTTCATTGAGGTATATGTGGAGTCAAAAAACGTTATCTATGGAGGCAAAGAAGGGAATGTATGAAAGTATAGTAGTACCAACACTCTTATATGGATGTGAAGCTTGGGTGGTAAATGCAGCAGCGAGGAGACGGTTGGAGGCAGTGGAGATGTCCTGTCTAAGGGCAATGTGTGGTGTAAATATTATGCAGAAAATTCGGAGTGTGGAAATTAGGAGAAGGTGTGGAGTTAATAAAAGCATTAGTCAGAGGGCAGAAGAGGGGTTGTTGAGGTGGTTTGGTCATTTAGAGAGAATGGATCAAAGTAGAATGACATGGAAAGCATATAAATCTATAGGGGAAGGAAGGAGGGGTAGGGGTCGTCCTCGAAAGGGTTGGAAAGAGGGGGTAAAGGAGGTTTTGTGGGCGAGGGGCTTGGACTTCCAGCAAGCGTGCATGAGCGTGTTAGATAGGAGTGAATGGAGACGAATGATACTTGGGACCTGACGATCTGTTGGAGTGTGAGCAGGGTAATATTTAGTGAAGGGATTCAGGGAAACCGGTTATTTTCATATAGTCGGACTTGAGTCCTGGAAATGGGAAGTACAATGCCTGCACTTTAAAGGAGGAGTTTGGGATATTGGCAGTTTGGAGGGATATGTTGTGTATCTTTATACGTATATACTTCTAAACTGTTGTATTCTGAGCACCTCTGCAAAAACAGTGATAATGTGTGAGTGTGGTGAAAGTGTTGAATGATGATGAAAGTATTTTCTTTTTGGGGATTTTCTTTCTTTTTTGGGTCACCCTGCCTCGGTGGGAGATGGCTGACTTGTTGAAAAAAAAAAAAATGCATATGTAGTATGACCTAAGTGTAAGTAGAAGTAGCAAGACATACCTGAAGCCTTGCATGTTTATGAGACAGAAAAAAAGACACCAGCAATTCCAATGTCATGTAGACAGTTACACGCTACAGTTTGCAGTGCTTGTTATTCTCTTTAATTCTGAAGACTGACTTATTAGTAACTGGTACTAAATGTGATTGTATATGTAATAATACTTGTGTTCATGGTTACCATTCATCACTCATTGTAAAAGGTTATAGGCATGATGTACAAAGTAGTAATCAGTGGGTTGTGTGTTAGTTACTGAGTGTATTCTGTGGGTGAATTCCTATGGTATAATTTCATTTTGGTATTTGTTGCTAATATTTATCATAAGTTGTACCAGTAAACTGTAATTTATGACACTGTGCTTAAACAACTGCTATTCTTAAGGAAAATGCACAGATAATTGGTGTCAAACTTTTGTAAAGATATTGAATTTAAGTTTATTTTATAACACACCTCCTCTGTTTTTTCGGACTAGAACATGTAATATTAAATTTTCTACATAATAACTGTGCTTATGGGAGATTCTAAAGAAAAGTTGCAAAAGGTTAGTGGACGAGTTTGGGAGTGTGTGTAAAGGTAGAAAGTTGAAAGTGAACATAGAAAAGAGTAAGATGATGAGGGTATCAAATGATTTAGATAAAGAAAAATTGGATATCAAATTGAAGAGGAGGAGTATGGAAGAAGTGAATGTTTTCAGATATTTGGGAGTTAACGTGTCAGCAGATGGATGTATGAAGGATGAGGTTAACCATAGAGTTGATGAAGGAAAAAAGGTGAGTGGTGCATTGAGGTATATGTGGAGACAAAAAACATTATCTATGGAGGTAAATAAGGGATGTATGAAAGTATAGTGGTACCAACACTCTTATATGGGTGTGAAGCTTGGGTTGTAAATGCTGCAGCAAGGAGGCAGTTGGAGGCAGTGGAGATGTCCTGTCTAAGGGCAATGTGTGGTGTAAATATTATGCAGAGAATTCGGAGTGTGGAAATTAGGAGAAGGTGTGGATTTAATAAAAGTATTAGTCAGAGGGCCAAAGAGGGGTTGTTGAGGTGCTTTGGTCATTTAGAGAGAATGGATCAAAGTAGAATGACATGGAGAGCGTATAAATCTGTAGGGGAAGAAAGGCGGGGTAGGGGTTGTCCTCGAAAAGGTTGGAGGGAGGGGGTAAAGGAGGTTTTGTGGGCGAGGGGCTTGGATTTCCACCAAGCATGCGTGAACATGTTAGATAGGAGTGAATGGAGTCGAATGGTATTTGGGACCTGACGAGCTGTTGGAGTGTGAGCAGGGTAATATTTAGTGAAGGGATTCAGGGAAATTGGTTATTTTTAGATAGCCGAACTTGAGTACTGGAAATGGGAAGTACAGTGCCTGCACTTTAAGGGAGGGGTTTAGGATATTGACAGTTTGGAGGGATATGTTGTGTATCTTTATACGTATGTGCCTCTAAACTGTTGTGTTCTGGGCACCTCTGCAAAAACAGTGATTATGTATGAGTGAGGTGAAAGTGTTGAATGATGATGAAAGTATTTTCTTTTTGGGATTTTCTTTCTTTTTGGGTCACCCTGCCTTGGTGGGAGATGGCCAACTTGTTAAAAAAAAAAAAAAAAAACAATGTCAACTTTTTCTGTTGAGCCTTAAAAGTTTTAGACTGATATTAAAGACTCGATATTCTCATGCATGTACAGTATGTATTTTTCTATACTAGATTACTCATTCACTATCAAAAGTTTTTCACATCAAAGTTCATCTCCTTTCCTGTAATTGTAACTGTAGCAATATAATGTTTCATTTATTCCTCAGATCATGTTTTGGTTTTAGATGAAAAAGGTTATCCTGTACAGTTGACTCCACCAGAAATTGAATCACAGACAAATGTTAGTGCAAGTTCCTTAGAAATCCCTGACAACTGCACTAGGTAGGTACAGTGCTATACTATTTATAATTAAAATGCTTATTGTTTTAAGAGAAAGTATAGTGAATGGTGACTTTGTAGCTTAGTGGTGGCGGGTTGAGCTAACAGCCAAAGGATCCTGGATGGGTCGAGGTGCGTTCAGATGGATGGGCTAGCCTCTTTATGCTTGCTGCCCCTGCTTGCTTAGTAGTAAACCAGATACCTGAACACTGACTGACTGTTATGGATTGCATCCTGGGAAAGAGGACTGTAGAACAATGTAAATACAGGAGAACCTACATATACAATGCCCACTTTTCGGTGTTTCATGTTTTCGTTGACATTCAATTGAGCCATTGTTCATTATGTTCAGTGCTTTTACTGCTTTTCTGCCATTGTCGTTTTTGTACAACAGTTGCGCAAGAGAAGGATGAAAGGCATCATATGTTGTATCACAGCTTTGAAGCCAGTGTTGGTCCTGTAGTACAGCACCATAAGCTCAGCTTACTCAGATAAACTGTGAGTGGTAAATTTGATCCTAGATGTGAGAAAATGGGTCTATGCAGTAAGTGTGCACCATATAAAAAAAATCCTGCAGCACACAGTGCATAATGAGAAAAAACTGCGACTGTGTTTTTGGTTTAACCCTTAAACGGTCCAAACAGATCGACGTTCAAATTCGTAGTGCTACAAAAGTAGATCTACTTTTTTTTACATATTTTCAAATATAACAAAAAAAATGTAGATAAAAGTTTTTTACACGTTTTCACATGTAAAACAAAAAAAAAAGATCTACATTTTTTTACATACTTTCAGATGTTGAAAAAACGTATATATACGTTTGGACCATTTAAGGGTTAAAACACCAACTTTGCAGTATATTTTTATATGGTTTTTATGGTTGTATTCACAGTTTCTTGGTCTCATTTGATAGAATGGAAGATATATTACAGAAAATAGCTTGAAATTGAGCTCAAATTTGCAGAAATATTAAAATTTTGTCAATATTCCAGAGTAAACAAATCATGTCAGTTGTCCCATACACGTCCAATTGGTCAGTCTAACATTCATTCATGAATGTGCTGGTGTTATTTGTATAATTATTACAATAATGCATAACAGTAAAACTTCTATTGTTTTGTGTGAATAAAAAATCAAAATGGAATTCATGTGTAAAGCCTGGAAACATAACTGATAGACAGGGGAAATGTTATTTTAGTGCCAGGAATGCCTGCATTGTTTATTCTGGACTCTTATTTTGAAATTGGCATATCTTGAAATTTGGGTAAAATTGGCCAAATTATCAATTTCTGATCACTTTATTGGGTAGTTGAAATAGTTGATTGGGTGGTTTCTTGTGCTGAATTAATAAAATGGAAGATGTACTAGCAAATTAGCTAAGAATTTGGTTGACTGGAACAATGTAATTTGTCTAAAATAGGACTCAAAGTGGGCAGAGTCGCCAATGCATAAATATCGCTGGCAGCAAAATTCACTGAATTGTAATTTCATCAATTTTCCATCAAATTTTGCACTTTTTGTTTTATTACCTCGGAAAAAATTCTGTTATTTCACTGGATTTTTTTTTTTTTTTTTTTTTTTTTTAAATCTTGGACATTGTGGACACTTTCCAGTTCAGGGATCTGGACACTCAAGAGGTTAAGGTAAGTACAGTAGGGCCCCCATATCCACAGGTGATATATTCCGAGGACCTGCCACAGATACTGAAACCGTGGATAGTAGCGAACCCTATACACAAGTCATTTTTAATATACATACATACATACCTATGATAAAGTTTAATTGATAAATTATTCACAATAATTGGAGAATTATCACCTTTTCACTGATGGGAAGCACTTCATGGCTTTTCTTAGGTATTGAAGAACTTCCACCATCACTATTTTTGCACTTTGCGGCTATTATTAAGCAAAGTTAAGGGTTATTTTAGGGCCACAGCAAACTGCTGATACAGGACCCATGGATATGGGGGTCCCACTGCTTTGTGTATACTGTGTATTTACTTTACTTTTTTCTGTTTTTTTTTTTATACCTAGCTGTATTGAGAACTTAATATATGATAGTGCAAACATGTTATCAGGCATTTCAGGTGCATTCAGTAATGAAAAATTAATTTTTTTTTTTTCACCTGCTGGTGATTTTTGCTTATTGTTTGATCCCAAACCTGAGGCCTGTATGCCACATAGCTTTGATTTCTTAGATTAATTACCCTTGGTTAATAATCAGAAGTCTTCTTTTAGTTGCTTAAGTTTACATGTACCATAGCGAAAAATTGTTTCTACACTATTTCCATGGACAGTGTTCTATAACTCTGCTGTGATGTAAATATAGACCTTGCTTCAAAGATAGCTCTGTTTTTTTAATTTTTTTTTAACACATCGGCCGTTTCCCACCAAGGCAGGGTGGCCATCATTGTCTTGCTAGAGGCCTGCCTACACTACAGTTATAAAACTGCAACATTAACACCCCTCCTTCAGAGTGCAGACACTGTACTTCCCATCTCCAGGACTCTAAGTCTGGCCTGCTGGTTTCCCTGAATCCCTTCATAAATGTTACCTTGCTTACACTCCAACAGCACATCAAGTCTTAATTCTCCATTTAGTAACTCCTCTCCTATTTTTAACTAACAAATCCATTCATGCACTGGACAGGGAGATATATCATCTTTTAGGAGTGAAGAAGAACAGGATGTGAGTGTGGGGGAGGTGCGTGAGGCATTATGTAGAATGAAGGGGTAAAGCAGCTGGAACTGACGGGATCATGAGAGAAATGTTAAAAGCAGGGGGGGATATAGTGTTGGAGTGGTTGATATTTTTGTTTAATAAATGTATGAAAGAGGGGAAGGTACCTAGAGATTGGCGGAGAGCATGTATAGTCCCATTATATAAAGGGAAGGGGGACAAAAGAGATTGTAAAAATTATAGAGGAATAAGTTTACTGAGTATACCAGGAAAAGTGTATGGTAGGGTTATAATTGAAAGAATTAAAGGTAAGAGAGAATGTAGGATTGTGGATGAGCAAGAAGGGTTTAGAGTAGGTAGGGGATGTGTAAATCAAGTGTTTACATTGAAGCATATATGTGAACATTATTTAGAGGAGAGTTATTAAATGGAGAGTTAGAGGTATTGGGAAGATGGAGGGAATATTTTGAGGAATTGTTAAATGTTGATGAAGATAGGGAAGCTGTGATTTCGTGTATAGGGCAAGGAGGAATAACATCTTGTAGGAGTGAGGAACAGCCAGTTGTGAGTGTGGGGGAAGTTCGTGAGGCAGTAGGTAAAATGAAAGGGGGTAAGGGAGCCGGAATTGATGGGATAAAGATAGAAATGTTAAAAGTAGGTGGGGATATAGTTTTGGAGTGGTTGGTGCAATTATTTAATAAATCCATGGAAGAGGGTAAGGTACCTAGGGATTGGCAGAGAGCATGCATAGTTCCTTTGTATAAAGGAAAAGGGGACAAAAGAGAGTGCAAAAATTATAGGGGGATAAGTCTGTTGAGTATACCTGGTAAAGTGTATGGTAGAGTTATTATTGAAAGAATTAAGAGTAAGACGGAGAATAGGATAGCAGATGAACAAGGAGGCTTTAGGAAAGGTACGGGGTTTTTGTGGACCAGGTGTTTACAGTGAAACATATAAAGTGAACAGTATTTAGATAAGGCTAAAGAGGTCTTTGTGGCATTTATGGATTTGGAAAAGGCGTATGACAGGGTGGATAGGGGGGCAATGTGGCAGATGTTGCAGGTGTAGGGTTTTGGAGGTAGGTCTGAAGCAGTGAAGAGTTTTTACGAGGTAGTGGGGCCCTCAAGTTAGAGTATGTAGGAAAGAGGGAAATTTTTTCCCATAAAAGTAGGCCTTAGAAAAGGATGTGTGATGTCACCGTGGTTGTTTAATATATTTATAGATGGGGTTGTAAGAGAAGTAAATGCGAGGGTTTGGCAAGAGGCGTGGATTTAAAAAGGGATAAAGAATCAAACATAAAGTGGGAGTTGCCACAGTTGCTCTTTGCTGATGACACTGTGCTCTTGGGAGATTCTGAAGAGAAGTTGCAGAGATTGGTGAATGAATTTGGTAAGAGTTTTGCAAAAGAAGAAAAATTAAAAGTGAATACAGGAAAGGAGTAAGGTTATGAGGATAAAAAAGATTAGGTGATGAAAGATTGGATATCAGATTGGGGGGAGAGAGTATGGAGGAGGTGAATGTATTCAGTTATTTGGGAGTTGACGTGTCAGCGGATGGGTCTATGAAAGATGAGGTGAATCATAGAATTGATGAAGGGAAAAGGGTGAGTGGTGCACTTAAGAGTCTGTGGAGACAAAGAACTTTGCCTTGGAGGCAAAGAGGGGGAAAGTATGAGAGTATAGTTTTACCAACGCTCTTATATGGGTGTGAAGCATGGGTGATGAATGTTGCAGCAAGGAGAAAAGGGTGGAGGCAGTGGAGATGTCATGTCTGAAGGCAATGTGTGGTGTGAATATAATGCAGAGAATTCGTAGTTTGGAAGTTAGGAGGAGGTGCGGGATTACCAACACTGTTGTCCAGAGGGCTGAGGAAGGGCTGTTGAGGTGGTTCGGACATGTAGAGAGAATGGAGCGAAACAGAGTGACTTCAAGAGTGTATCAGTCTGTAGTGGAAGGAGACGGGTAGGGCTCGGCCTAGGAAAGGTTGGAGGGAGGGGGTAAAGGAGGTATTGTGTGCGAGGGGCTTGGACTTCCAGCAGACATGAGTGAGCGTGTTTGATAGGAGTGAATGGAGACAAATGGTTTTTAATACTTGACGTGCTGTTGGAGTGTGAGCAAAGTAACATTTATGAAGGGGTTCAGGGAAACCGGCAGGCCGGACTTGAGTCCTGGAGATGGGAAGTACAGTGCCTGCACTCTGAAGGAGGGGTGTTAATGTTGCAGTTTAAAAACTGTAGTGTAAAGCACCCTTCTGGCAAGACAGTGATGGAGTGAATGATGGTGAAAGTTTTTCTTTTTTGGGCCACCCTGCCTTGGTGGGAATTGGCCAGTGTGATAATAAAATAATAAAATATTTAGATAAAGGTAGGGAAGTTTTTATTGCATTTATGGATTTAGAAAAGGCATATGATAGAGTGGATAGAGGAGCAATGTGGCAGATGTTGCAAGTACATGGAATAGGTGGTAAGTTACTAAATGCTGTAAAGAGTTTTTATGAGCATAGTGAGGCTCAGGTTAGGGTGTGTAGAAGAGAGGGAGACTACTTCCCAGTAAAAGTAGGTCTTAGACAGGGATGTGTAATGTAACCATGGTTGTTTAATATATTTATAAATGGGGTTGTAAAAGAAGTAAACGCTAGGGTGTTTGGAGAGGGGTGGGATTAAATTATGAGGAATCAAATACAAAATGGGAATTGACACACTTGCTTTTTGCTGATGATACTGTGCTTATGGGAGAGTCTAAAGAAAAATTGCAAAGGTTAGTGGATGAGTTTGGGAGTGTGTGTAAAGGTAGAAAGCTGAAAGTGAACATAGAAAAGAGTAAGGTGATGAGGGTATCAAATTATTTAGATAAAGAAAAATTGGATATCAAATTTGGGAGGAGGAGTATGGAAGAAGTGAATGTTTTCAGATACTTGGGAGTTGACATGTCGGCGGATAGATTTATGAAGGATGAGGTTAATCATAGAATTTATGAGGAAAAAAAGGTGATTGGCGCATTGAGGTATATGTGGAGACAAAAAAAAATTATCTATGGAGGCAAAGAAGGGAATGTATGAAAGTATAGTAGTACCAACACTCTTATATGGGTGTGAAGCTTGGGTTGTGAATGCAGCAGCGAGTAGGCGGTTGGAGGCAGTGGAGATGTCCTGTCTAAGGGCAATGTGTGGTGTAAATATTATGCAGAAAATTCGGAGTGTGGAAATTAGGAGAAGGTGTGGAGTTAACCCTTTGACTGTCGTGGCCGTATATATACGTTTACGAGGTACCGTGTTTGACGTATATGTACTCATAAATTCTAGCGGCTTCAAATCAGGCAGGAGAAAGCTGGTAGGCCCACATGTGAGAGAATGGGTCTGTGTGGTCAGTGTGCACCATATAAAAAAAATCCTGGAGCACGCAGTGCATAATGAGAAAAAAAAACTCCGACCGTTTTTTTTAATTAAAATGCCGACTTTGTGGTCTATTTTCATATAGTATTTGTGGTTGTATTCTCGTTTTCTTGGTCTCGTTTGATAGAATGGAAACTATATTATAAGAATAGAGGTGATTTTGATTAATTTTACTATAAAAAGAACCTGGAAATGGAGAACAAAGTACGGGAAATGTTTGATTTTTGCTGATGTTCAAAAGTTAACAAATGATGTCATTGTTCAATAAATGTCCAAATAGTCATTCTAATATGCAGTCATGAATGGGTTGATGTAATTTTTACAATTATTACAGTATTGCAGTAGTCTGCATAACAGTAAATCTTCTATTTTTTGTTTGAATAAAATTTCAAAATAAAAAGCAAGAGTAATATCACAGGGGCCTGGAGACATGACTGATGAACAAAGAAAATTTTATTTTAGAGCCAGGAATGTCTGCATTGTTCATTCTGGTCCTTATTTTGAAATTGTCATATTTTTAAATTTTCGTGAAATTGGCCAAATTGCAAATTTCTGACCATGTTATTGGGTTGTTGAAATCGGTAAATGGGTAGTTTCTTGTACTCAATTGATGGAAAAAATGGAGTTCTGAAGAAATAGCTGTGAGTTTGGTTGACTGGAATAATGGAATTAGCCGAAAATAGGGCTCAAAGTGGGTGAAATTGCCGATTTGTAAATATCGCCGAGGTCGCTAACTTTGCGAGAGCATAATTCTGTCAGTTTTCCATCAAATTTCGTTTTTTTGGTGTCTTTACAATCGGGAAAAGATTCTCTATCATTTCTTAAGAAAAAATAATTTTTTTTTTTTTTAAATTTTGCGACACCAGGAGACACCTCAGGATTGGGGGTTGCGACAGTCAAAGGGTTAATAAAAGTATTAGTCAGAGGGCTGAAGAGGGGTTGTTGAGGTGGTTTGGTCATTTAGAGAGAATGGATCAAAGTAGAATGACATGGAGAGCATTTAAATCTGTAGGGAAAGGAAGGCAGGGTAGGGGTCATCCTCAAAAAGGTTGGAAGGAAGGGGTAAGGGAGGTTTTGTTGGCAAGGGGCTTGGACTTCCAGCAGGCGTGCGTGAGCGTGTTCGATAGGAGTGAATAGAGACGAATGGTATTTGGACCTGACGATCTGTGAGTGTGAGCAGGTAATATTTAGTGAAGGGATCAGGGAAACTGGTTATTTTTATATAGCCGGACTTGAGTCCTGGAAATGGGAAGTACAATGCCTGCACTCTAAAGGAGGGGTTCGAGATATTGACGGTTTGGAGGGATATGTTGTGTATCTTCATACGTATATGCTTCTAAGCTGTTGTGTTCTGAGCACCTCTGCAAAAACAGTGATTATGTGTGAGTGAGGTGAAAGAGTTGAATGATGATGAAATATTTTCTTTTTGGGGATTTTCTTTCTTTTTGGGTCACCCTGCCTCGGTGGGAGACGGCCGACTTGTTAAAAAAAAAAAATCCATTCTTTCCCTAGGCTTTCTCGACTTATTAATCTCACTCCAAAACTTTTTCTTATTTTCAACAAAATTTGTTGATAACATCTCACCCACTCTCTCATTTGCTCCTTTTACATTGCTTCACCACTCTTTTAACACCTCTTTTTCTCTCCATATACTACTCCTCCCTCCTTGCATCACTTCTACTTTGAAAAAAACCTCTCATATGCTAACTTTTCCTCTCTTGCTACTCTCTTTACATCATCATTCCACCATTCACTCTTCTTCCCTCCTGCACCCACTTTCCTGTAACCACAAACTTCTGCTCAACACTCTTAACACTATATTCTTTAAATTACCCCATACATCTTCTACCCCATTGCCTGTATTCTCACTAGCCCATCTGTCCTCTTACAGTTGTTTATATCATACCCGGACTGCCTCCTCCTCTAGTTTTTAAATCTTCACTTCTTTCTTACTTGCTGCTTCCATTTTCTTTGTATCCCATCTACCTTTTACTCTCACTGTAGCTACAACTAAAAAGTGATTTGATATATCTGTGGCTCCTCAATAAATATGTCCATCCTGAAGTCCACCCATCAATCTTTTATCTACCAATATGTAGTCCAACAAACTACTGTCATTTTCCCTACATCATATCTTGTATACTTATTTATCTTCTTTTTCTTAAAATATGTGTTACCTAAAACCAAACCCCTTTCTATACAAAGTTCAGTCAAATGCTCCCCAGTATCACTTACACCTGGCACCCCAAACTTACCTACGACACCCTCTCTAAATGCTTCTTCTTTAGGATTTAGGTCCCTTACCACAATTACTCTTTCACTTGGCTCAAAAGTTCCTACACACTTGTTTAACATCTCTCAAAATCTCTCTCTCCTCTCCTCCACACTCCTCTCTTCTCCAGGTGCATACACACTTATTACCCACTTTTCACATCTGACCCTTATTTTAATCCACATAATCCTCGAATTTATACACTTATATTCCCTCTTTTCTCTCCATAACTGATCCTTTAACATTATTTCTACCCCTTCCTTAGCTCTAACTCTCTCAGATACTCCTGACCTAATCCCATCTATTTCTCCCCACTGAAACTCCCCTATCCCCTTTCAGCTTTGTTTTGCTTAGGGCTAGGACATCCAACTTTCATTCATAACCTTTGCAATCACTTCTTATCATCTGCACTACATCCACACACATTCAAACGTCCCAATTTTATAAAGTTCTTCTTTTTAGTAATTTATACAGGAGAAGGGGTTACTAGCCCATTGCTCCTGGCATCTAGTTGCCTCCTGCGACACGCATAGTTTGCGGAGGAAGAATTCTGTTCCTCTTTCCCATGAAGATAAGCAGAAATAAACAAGAACAAGAACCAGGAAGAAAATAGAAGAAAACCTAGAGGGGTTAGTATATACATGTATATTAAAATTCTGCTACAGTATATTAAAATTCATTAGCATAAATCTTTTTTTTCTTTTTTATTCCAGGGTTGCTATTTTAGATATTGGTTCTTCTTACGTATATAAACCTGGTGATATTCTGGTTGGGCCAGCTCGTCTTAAGCAGAAGTTGCTGGAGCTTGAAGGCTTCACTGTTGTCTGCTTGCTCCAGTCAGTCATTTATCGATATCAACCAGACGAGAAAGCTTTGTATGTAAAAAGGGAACTTGCAAATGCAGGTATTGCTTTTAAATAACTTGTTTAGCATATCACATTTATAGAAATTTTAAGTATTTACATATGTGGTGAATTTAGTATGTGATTCTTACTGTTCTTCTAAAATTACTGTTGGACAGCATCAAAATAAAACATAAGTTATCCAAAGCAAACTTAAAAGCAAGTTATGATTAAAACCACTAGAACTTGTAATTATAATATATTTATTGTGGTTAGTATAGTTTAAACTGTACCACCCACATATGTAATATAATATTAAAGTCAAGTCACCTGTGTGATATATTTTGAGCTTCTTATTTAAAGTCAAGATGCTGTTTTATACAGTACTTTATTTGTGGTAGCTTTATACTTTCCACATTAAATTTTTTTGAAGAAATTATAAAGCAATAAAGAAGGCATTTTTATAATATATAAAGTATTTTTCTTCCTAGCTTACTTTAGGACTATAAGGCAAAAGTCACTCGTAATAAATGTACGTATTTGTTTACATTTATGACTTGAAAAAACTAATTTCAAACTCAAGTGGAAACATCTAAAAAATAAAATTGAATGGCAAATACCAATGCCACCCTCTGCCTGTTTGATCTCACAAAAATTTTTTGCTTTAGCAAAACAGACAAGTTGAATGAATCTCCAAAACCTAAATTATTATAATAGACACAAAAAACGTAAACCCAGATGGGTCATTCAGCACTGCATCCAAAACCTGAAAACTGTAGTGTCTCAAGGTTGTGCAGATGAAGTAGCATATTCTCAAAATGAATTAAAAGCTGAATTTCATGAATACCTGAGCATCATTAATTTTCTCCCTATGTTCTAAGTGGATACAAACACTTATAATGAATTAAAAAATGCTGAAGTCCATGTATGCAAGATCGCACCACTTGAGCCAGAAATAGGAGAGACAGATTTCTTTGTAAACAGTAAATCATTTGTTTGTAAATCCTCCATAAAATGGACTTTGGAAATACAGAATAAAATCCACCGAGTCAGTTGATTTGCAAACAGTGGACAAGTCCATTAGTTACAAAATTTCCCATTATTGTTACAATCTCAGCAAAACAATCTCTTCTCTATCCATCACAATTGCCATTATCAGTTATCTGCTTCCCTCATTTAGTCTTATATGGAATTATTATAATCAGAAAGAAGTGCTAAGCAGTCTTATATGGAAGGTTTACTGTATTTCTTTTTTAGGATTCTCTTCATGCATACTGTACTTTATACAGGTAACCAATTCATATGTAGTAAATTCATTTTTAACCTATATACTAAAACAGTAGTATTCCTGTACACTTTTGACAAGAAATCTTTCCTTCACTGTCACTTTATAATAAAGTTTGATTCTGTAACAACTAAAAAGAATCAAAAACCATTGAAAGCTAGACTTCTCATTTAATAGTTTTCATATTTGTGGAAAGTGCTAACCCATATGCATCATTCAGCTGTACTACCGTACCGCTGAGTAGTGCAGTACTTATAACTGAAGAATACACTTGCACGTGATAGGAAAAACATTTTCCTGTTTAATTTGGGAAAATCTAACCCAATGATTTAATTCTTAGAGAAAAAGTATTTTTCAGATGGCTCTTAAGATTCTTTTCTCACCTTCCCCTTTCCCCAATCAATGGAAACTTGTTTGGTCCATGACAAGAGATTTGCCAACACATTAAGCCAGGATTTTACATGATGGTAGTTGTAAAACTGTATTAATGCATGCAATGCAGGAGGATTAAACCCTAGCCTCCGACATGGGAGCAGAGACCGTCTCGACAAGACTGTGACAGCAGAGAAGGAAATGTGTGATACCTAAGATATGTTAACATATCTTTAATGCTAAAAAAAAATACTATGTGAAAAAAAAAGCTGGAAATGGTATATAAATTTGTTAATACTGTAGTTTTTTGCTTATTCAAGATCAGTATTTACTATTATGATAATGAAAATAACACCATGTGCTACTTGAACATCAGTGTTCCTAATTTAACATCTACTATAATAGAAAATCTCAATACAAGCAGTTATTGTACAAAAAGTAAAAAATATTACTGTAATTTCATCTCAGTAATACAGTACAGTGAACCCTTGATCTAACAAACTAGTAGGGGGTGTCTGTTTTATTAGAATGTTAAAAAATATTAAAAAAAAAAAATGCACTACAGTACTCTGCTGTATACCTAATATACGACAGATATACGACAATAAACATTGAAAATGTAGTGTTAAAAGTACAATTTAACTAGTGGATTTGGGCTATAATTTTAAGTCTTTTATATCAAGGATTTACTGTACATGAATTAACTTTGTTTGTTTTCTTACTTAACCCTTTAGAATGCAGACATCATTATTTGATAATACTAAAGGCATCACTTGACAGCCGTAATTTTCATGCATATTTTTTAATTAGGTGATGTCACCACCATTATTTGCACTGGGAGTTGGTTGATATTACAAACAGTACTACAATCTTCAGTTGTTAAATGACTGAGATGCCCAATTGTACAGCAGACTCGGTCATTCCACATACCATTGACTGTACCAGAAATAAGTGTACACTTCATTTGTTAGGAGACTTTTTTTTTTCTGTTAATTTAATCTTTTAAGTTAATATCAAGGAAAGTTAAACATACCAAAATAAGTTTCAGATTAACCCTTTAGCATTCCAAGGTCCCATTAGAAGCTCACATCTGGAAAAGTTCCAAAGCCCAAACTGGACACATTAATTTCATGAAATTGTCTCCCACCAATGGGGGAACTCGTTGTCATCCTCAAGTAGGTTGAAATAATGACTGTTTGGACTTGCTTTCAACAATTCATGAAAGAATGGTATGATGGATATGGCAAAATTCACTAAGAGTAATAAGGTCTTAGAATGGGCCAATCTATAACATACTATAAGTACATCTAAATCCTACCACTATTTCTATGATGGATTATTATTATAATCAAAAAGAAGCGCTAAGCCACAAGGACTATACAGCTTCTATGATGGAACATTAAAGAATATTAACCTTGACCAGAAATATTATTTAACTAAGCCTCTTCAAATCAACACTCTCTCTCAAAGATTCCAAGTATCTGGTGTAAACACTGGAAAGACGTACGTACAGGAGGCCCTGCGTATACAGCTCCCACTTTTTGGCGTTTCACATTTTCATTGGCTCTCATTTGAGCCATTGTTCATTATATTTGATGCTTTTACTGCTTTTCTGCCATTATCACCATTTTCGTGCAACAGTTGCAAAAGGGAAGGATGAATGACATCATAGTTTAAGGTAAGTATTGTATGTACTGCGTACATATTAATTTTACTATTTTATGTTTTTTAGCTGTATTAAGCACTAATATATGATAGTGTAAACACATTATCAGGTGTTGTAGATGCATTCTATAAAGAAAAAATACTCTTTTCAATCCAATGACAATTCTTGCTTATTGTTTGCGGGTCATGAACCTTAGAAGCTGTATGAAAGGGGGCCCCGCCTGTACTTAATTTAATACAATTTCCTGGAATTGGTATTTTATCAGTCAAGAGGGGTTGACAACTTCAGGACGTCTGCACAAATCTCTAAAGGCATAATAAACTGTTTTTGTGTGTGTTAAATGTTATTTTATATATGAGTAATTGAAAAATGTTTTTATTATTATAATCATAACAAAGCCCTAAACCCTTATGATAAGGTTTTTTTTTTTTTTTTTTTTTTTTTTGACAGCTGTACTTCTGCAACTGCCTAGGGAGGTACTGCTGTCCTGCCAGGTGAGTGTAAAATGAAAGCCTGTAATTGTTTTACATGATAGTAGGAGGGCTGGTGTCTTTTTTTCTGTCTCATAAACATGCAAGATTTCAGGTACGTCTTGCTACTTCTACTTACACTTAGGTCACACTACACATGCATGTACAAGCATATATATACATACCCCTCTGGGTTTTCTTCTATTTTCTTCTTAGTCCTTGTTCTTGTTTATTTCCGTTCATCTCCGTGGGGAAGGGGAACAGAATTCCTTCTCCATAAGCCAATCCATGCGTAAGAGACGACTAAAATGCCGGGAACAAGGGGCTAGTAACCCTTTCTCCTATATATATTATTAAATTTAAAAAGAGAAACTTTTTTTCTTTTTGGACCAACCTTGCCTCAGTGGGATACAGCTGGTGCATTGAAAGAAAGAAGCAGCAGTTGTACTTCTCTAAGTTCATGAATTAAAACTTGCATAAGCTTTGCAGCTCAATTAACATTTTATGAGAGAGAGATTTATACTGAAAGTTCTGCAATTCTTGCTTTGATTTACCTGAACAGAATGATTGATATTCTTGGAATTTCAAAATCTTTTCTGCATTTACCAATTTTACACATTTAAGCAAGGGAAAACTCAACCAAAATGTACATCAGTATACAGTGGACCCCCGGTTAACGATATTTTTTCATTCCAGAAGTATGTTCAGGTGCCAGTACTGACCGAATTTGTTCCCATAAGGAATATTGAGAAGTAGATTAGTCCATTTCAGACCCCCAAACATACACGTACAAATGCACTTACATAAATACACTTACATAATTGGTCGCATTGGGAGGTGATCGTTATGCGGGGGTCCACTGTACTGTATTAACTTAAAATCTGCTGAAAAACTTCATATCATTACCAACTAAATTGAATAATTACATAAGCCTCGCAAAAAAAAAAAGTCTTTTGTCAATATGTGTTTTCTAAAATGTCCACTGAGAGGCCTACAGGTGGCAGCACGAGCATGGTACGTAATATGAACTCAGCTGGCAGACAGCATAGGCTGTCTATGCAGACAGTACAAGCTGTCTACATTTGCTCGGCCACGAACCACCATGGTCGTCCTCGACCATGACTGGCGGAAAAAAAAAAACTTGGTCTCTCTCTCTCGCAGGAACAGGGCACAGAACACAAAATAAAAGCATATATACACACAGACAAGGAAAAAAAAGCTTCCTACAGGGAGGGAAGAAAAAAAAACAGGTGGGGTCTAAAGCAGTGACCGTCGATGGGCATCACTGCACACCTTCCTGCATCTGGACAGATACTGCAACACAGGAGACATCGCTGCAGCTGAGCTGTGATGTAACAGGGTACGGTCTCCTCTGGAGCAGTGAAGCAGTCATCGTAGTAGTTGTTGCAGGGTTCCCTCATGCTGGGGCACAACCTTCTGGTGCCCTCGAGTGAGGCATCGTCAGTACTCGGCAACTGGGCAGGACTTCTACTGGCAAGCGACTCAGGAGGACATTTCTTGACTGGTACTGTCGCTGGGGCTGTCAATGCAGGCAAGTGCGGAGTGAGTCGTGGCAGAGACGACTCGGCAAAACATCTGGAAGCCGTAACAGCATACACCATATGCCCGTGAGTGGGCTAGCAGTCAAAGTGATATCATCATTGTGCAGGCTGCTCACTGAAGCTGTGACACGAGGCTGACACAGCGCCTGCTGACAGGGTCTAACTGCAGCTTGATGAGTGTCATTCTCTCGGCAGTTGGAGTTATAGCAGAGGTTAGTCTAAGCGTCCCCAGACTGGTTTGCTACATATAACTGCTCTGACGGTCAGGTAGTAAATTGAAACAAATCTCGATGGGAATCGTACCAGGTACGATTCTGCAGGGCATCACGAGCGGCGAACATAAAAAGCTTTCCGAACAAGGGGCTCAGGCGCTTGTAACTAATGCCGCGCGCGGGTCACACTGGGTGACAACGCGAGGTGCTACACTGGTCTGAGCACAGAACTGTGGTCTACACACACAGCTGGGCTCAAGACCACACAGGACACATGGAAAACTGCACACACACTGCACATGCAGTACAACATTGCTTGCACTGCAAATGACACTTTCCTGTGCAAAAATCGATACTAAGCCATACACAAATATGTGACAACACTGACAGAGATGAATTAATACATGACGTATAACTTCTCTCAATCTTCTCGACAACACAACATATTGCTCATGTGATGTCAGGCATGACGTCATGAGATGATGTCATGGGGTGACATCATGAAGCGACGTCAGCAGACAGCGAGGTGACGTCATGAGGGATGTCATGGGGCGACATCGCGAGGTGACATCAGGCAGACATCATGAAGTCGGGCAGCATCGTGGGTGATGTCGTGAAGTCAGGCAGCAGATCACAGCATGTCTTGCAATCTGGCTTAAACCACGCGGCTTGTAGATCCATGTGGTTTTGTGATCCACGTGGCTTTGAGTGACCTCAGGCACTCGGATAAACAGCTCTGGCCAAGAATTCACACAAAAATTCACAGAAAACACAGCAGAGAGGGAATGAGTAGCAGTGAGTGGTGTATGGTGGTGTACAGTAGGGTGAGCATGGGTGAGGCAAGGATCGGCCACTTCCTCCTCTCCCACCCACAAACACGGGGAGAAACACTTACACTGGACTCCAAAATCACCATAAACTCACCTCTGACTTGCTGAAGTAGCCGTACTGAGCTGAAGAACAAAAGCAGCAGCAACATACAAGTGACACTGAACACATGACTTGAGAAACAGCGTGGGGCACTTTACAGTGCCCCACGCTGTTTCTGGATTCTGCTTGTACCTTTCTCTGGATGCTAAGACTTGCAGACACAACATCCAGATAACTCGCTGAGAGATGGATGCTTCTTGTATGGGACGAAGAAGTGAAGACGACTTCATTCCTCTTCCTTCCCTCCTCTGGGCAAACACACTTGCTGTGAGGCACCGCTGTCACCAAAGTTTTCTAAAATGTTATTGTCATGTTGTTGCAGGCGGGGTTCAACGATAAGGCTTCGGAGGCTTCTTACTTTATTTGTGAAATCTGGGTACACAGGCAGTGTATTTGTGCCCATGGCCCCAAGGGGCCATGCCAGCGAGGGAGAGAGTAGTAGGCTTGTTGACTAAGAGCACTTGGCTGCCAGAGTGAGAGAGAGGCAGGGTGATGTGGGTTGAAGTGGCATGCCCACTGAGAGGCCTACAGGTGGCAGCACGAGCATGGTGCGAAATATGAACTCAGCTGGCACACAACATAGGCTGTCTATGCAGACAGTACAGGCTGACTATGCAAACAGTACAGGCTGTCTACAATTTTTTTTCTTTTTTAACAAGTTGGCCATCTCCCACCAAGGCAGGGTGACCCAAAAAGAAAATACTTTCATCATCATTCAACACTTTCACTTCACTCATACATAATCACTGTTTTTGCAGAGGTGCCCAGAACACAACAGTTTAGAAGCATATACTTATAAAGATATACAACATATCCCTCCAAACTCCCAATATCCCAAACCCCTCCTTTAAAGTGCAGGCATTGTACTTCCGATTTCCAGTACTCAAGTCCAGCTATATAAAAATAATCGGTTTCCCTGAATTCCTTCACTAAATATTACCCTGCTCACACTCCAACAGCTCGTCAGGTCCCAAATACCATTCGTCTCCATTCACTCCTAACACGCTCACACATGCTTACTGGAAGTCCAAGCCCCTTGCCCACAAAACCTCCTTTACCCCCTCCCTCCAACCTTTTCGAGGACAACCCCTACCCTGCCTTCCTTCCCCTACAGATTTATACACTATGTCATTCTATTTTGATCCATTCTCTCTAAATGATCAAACCACCTCAAGAACCCCTCTTCAGCCCTCTGACTAATACGTACTTTTATTAACTCCACGCCTTCTCCTAATTTCCACACTCTGAATTCTCTGCATAATATTTACACCACACATTGCCCTTAGCCAGGACATCACTGCCTCCAGCCGCCTCCTCACTGCAGCATTTACAACCCAAGCTTCATACCCATATAAGAGTGTTGGTACCACTATACTCTCATACATTCCCTTCTTTGCCTCCATAGATAACGTTTTTTGTCTCCACAGATACCTCAACGCACTCACCTTTTTTCCTTCATCAGTTCTATGGTTAAACTCATCCTTCATAAACTCATCCACTGACAAGTCAACTCCCAAATATCTGAAAACATTCACTTCTTTGATACTCCCTCTCTCCAATGTGATATCCAATTTTTCTTTATCTAAATCATTTGATACCCTCATCACCTTACTCTTTTCTATGTTCACTTTCAACTTTCTACCTTTACATACACTCCCAAACTCGTCCACTAAGCTTTGCAACTTTTCTTTAGAATCTTCCGTAAGCACAGTATCATCAGCAAAAAGTAACTGTGTCAATTCCCATTTTGTACTTGATTCCCCATAATTTAATCCCACCCTTCTTCCCATCACCCTAGCATTTACTACTTTTACAACCCCATCTATAAATATATTAAACAACCATGGTGATATTACACATTCCTCATATAACAATGGTTATAAATGACCATAATTTTTAAAGGGGTGGACCGGTAAGCCAGCGGAAGGCCTCGGTCAGATGACCAAAAGCTCCAAAGGCGGGTCATCATCTGACTAAGACCCGCGTCAGGAAACATTTGTCCTGTTTCCTGACAGACCTTACCTAACCTAACCTAACCTACACATTCCTGTCTAAGACCTACTTTTACTGGGAAGTAATCTCCCTCTCTCCTACACACCCTAACCTGAGCCTCACTATCCTCATAAAAACTCTTTACAGCATTTAATAACTTACTACCTATTCCATACACTTGCAACATCTGCCATATTGCTCCCCTATCCATTCTATTATATGCCTTTTCTAAATCCATAAATCCAATGAAAACTTCCCTACCTTTATCTAAATACTGCTTCAATATAAACACTTCATCTACACATCCCCTAGCCACTCTAAAGTGCAATTCTGTAGGTATTAAATGAAATTCTGCATTTTTGGCGTCATTACCCTTAGAAAAAAAATTCTCTGCCATTTAAAAGCTATTAACAAAAAATAACAATAGAAAAGGAACTTTCAAGTTGGGGATATGTTGACAGAAGGCTAGGGAAGACATTCAAGACAATATTTAATGTTATGTTGTGAATAAACACCTGTACTATAATAAAATATGAAATTTATTGGCCAGCTTTGCTGAAAATTTCATAGATGTATCAGTGTTACAGAGCTATTTGAAATATCTACAACATTTCATTGAAGAAATAGTTTGATTTTTTCATGAATTCTGAAATACAGCCTCTCCTCACTTAGCAACGTACTCATTTACTGATGACTTGGACTTACGATGGGCTCTCTGACCTGTATGCATACCTAAATAATGTATATTAGAGCTGATTTCCTCTATTCTGTTTATTACAATATACAGTACACTACTGTATAAACATTTAAAACTATACTAAAAATGTTATAAATAGTGCAAGGGTGACATCAAAACAATATCAAAGATGGTTGACATAAACCTACTACATACCATTATAGTATATGCCTCGTTTAGCGACAAATTTGTTTATCAACGCGGTATTAGGAACAAAACTCTGTAGTTAACCCTTAAACTGTCCAAACGTAGATCTACGTTCACGTGCATAGTGCTCCGACCTTGATTTTCCCCATTTGAAAGCATGTAAAAAAAAGTAGATCTCCGTTCGGAGCCTGCCGCACATCAACGTATATCTACGTTTGGACAGTTTAAGGGTTAAGTGAGGAGAGGCTGTACTTTCTTCATAACCCATATACATCTGGGTATGTACAGCAACTAAAACAAAAGTTATGCAGTCTAGTCTCCAATATGATGTTGATCCACTGTTGACTATATTCCTAATACTCTAATGACAGAAAAATGCATCATAATTTATTATTCACATTTAGTGTAAATAAGAAACAGTTATTTTCTTTTTTTTTTTATAAAGTGTCCAAAAATCATAATTTATTTTACTAGTACTTTTCACTCACCACAATTATAGACAATTGAAGGAATTTTTTTACTGCTTTTTGTTATTATCTTATGACTGTGCTTTGTGGCTCACTAGTATATATATTTTTTTTTTTTTTCAACAAGTCGGCCGTCTCCCACCGAGGCAGGGTGACCCAAAAAAGAAAGAAAATCCCCAAAAAGAAAATACTTCCATCATTCAACACTTTCACCACACTCGCACATTATCACTGTTTTTGCAGAGGTGCTCAGAATACAACAGTTTAGAAGCATACACATATAAAGATACACAACATATCCCTCCAAACTGCCAATATCCCAAACCCCTCCTTTAAAGTGCAGGCATTGTACTTCCCATTTCCAGGACTCAAGTCCGACTATATGAAAATAACCGGTTTCCCTGAATCCCTTCACTAAATATTACCCTGCTCACACTCCAACAGATCGTCAGGTCCCAAGTACCAGTATACAGTGGACCCCCGGTTAACGATATTTTTTCACTCCATAAGTATGTTCAGGTGCCAGTACTGACCGAATTTATTCCCATAAGGAATATTGTGAAGTAGATTAGTCCATTTCAGACCCCCAAACATACACGTACAAACGCACTTACATAAATACACTTACATAATTGGTCGCATTCGGAGGTAATCGTTATGCGGGGGTCCACTGTATATATAAATTTAATATACAGTAATACATAAAAATGGGTAAAATAGGGTGCTCACTGAACCCTCTACTGAAGAATGATTGGTTCCTAAAAGATAAAGGATACCAAATGAACATTTTATTCAGAACAAAATACTGTAGTTTTAAACAAAAATTAATGATACATCTTCATAAACTTACTTATAGAGCCCAAAATTCTCAATGTTTATACCTAACTTGAGAGGATAATCCCCATACACCTAATAGTAGGCAGGAAAAAATATATAATACAGTATATACTTTTCAGTATAAATATGTGCAGCAATACTGTATGACCCATGCAGGTTTAGTGCTTGTTTTTTAATATAATAATAGTAATCCATAAAAAATAGCAAATGTCCTCCTTAAAGCAGTGTCAAAATGCAAAGACAAACAATGTGCATTTTTTTTATATCTGGCCTTTATCACACATTTCAATAAACTGAGACATTTATGCCACTTTAAAAACTAACTAACAATATCCTCCATGGGAAAGTGGAACAGAATTCTTCCTCTAAGCCATGCGTGTTGCAAGAAACGACTAAAATGCCGGAAGCAAGCAGCTAGTAACCCCTTCTCCTGTATAAATTACCAAATTTTAAAAGAGAAACTTTCGTTTTTCTTTTTAGGTCATCCTGACTTGGTGGAATACAGCCAGTTGAAAAAAATATATAGTACATGTATATATAATCTGAAGAAGTATGATTTACCAAACTATTTCAAGTTTGTCACCTTGCAATTAATATGTTTATGCTGACTTAGCTACTTGAAGCACAATGAGACATTAACTAAATATCAATAAGCTTAGTAGTTCCCTCTCTGGCCTGTGGGGGCATATCCTTGACTCTTATGAAGTGGTGGTAACAGGATTTAGTGTAATCAGTCATAAGATCTTGTGTGGCTTCTGGCAAATCTCCAGTATGCCTTGCAGGTGACCCTGAGTATATAGCAAAGGGGGGAACAACTGTTTCTGGAGGAAGAACAGTATTATCAGCAATCATGCAGCAGTCTTTTAGCACACACCTCCGTCCCTGAAAAAATGTAAATGATATAGATAAGTAACTGATGTGGTAATCAGTTCTACAGATGTACTATATATAAGGCAGATATGAAATAAGAGGAATCTCCTCACCCCATCCCACCTTTCCCTATTATCATCCAGAAAAATGTAATCACTGTTTACTACTATGGATGCAAAGGTGATAAGTAAGAACAAAACAGAAGAGTCCAAGAACTCAGTATTCAAGAGAGGTTACCCCTAAAGATGCTGGTGAAGGGTTGTGATGCAAGGAGTTGGAAATAATTGTGCCCTTACCTAGACATTCCATCCTTCCCATTTCCCAGGCACTGTATGACTTGTGGGTTTAGCACTTTCCCCATGCATATACAATAATAAAAGTGACAACAAAGGAATGAGACAATGAATGACAAATGCAGCTGAACACCAAAGTTCAAGCTTAGCATGACAGTTACCCAGAAAATGTTATAAATTTTGAACAGGTAAGGCAGGGAAGCTTAAAAAATTACCTGTAAGGTGGATAGAGGGGCAGGGTTCAATCACCAACAGTTGAAGGGAATGTTAATCAAATATGCCCAAAGTAGCAAAAGCTAAGGGCAGAAATATTTTTCTGACATTTCAGGAGATAATACAGTGGAACCTCTACTTGTAAGTTTAATTCGTTCCATGACCTTGCTCGCAACTGGATTTGCTCGTTTGCAGAGTCAATTTCCCTCATTTAAATTAATTGAAATGCAATTAATCCGTTCCAGTGGAATTCTGTACTTCAATAATTTCGCTAATGTCAACTCTACGGCTTATCTATCTCACTTCATCTAATATGACGTAAACAATATAAATAACATAGAAACCTGATATATACTCTAAAATGAATAAAATATGTCATTCAAGTGGTGGTATGGGCGGTGTCGGCGGTGGACGAGAGTTTGTCTGGAGACCAGGCAAAATACTTCATGAATAATTTCGCTGATATCATCTATACGGCTTATTTGTTTATCACAGTTCATCTATGACATAACAAACAATATAAATAACATAGAAACATGATATATACTCTAGAATGAATAAAATATGTCATTATGTAACAGGTGGAGGCGGCCACAACCGCTTCCTCTTTTGTTTGGGGAAAACACTGCCATCTAGTGACGGCCTTTTGAAGCCATCTATTTTTATAAAAATTATAGATACAAATTTTTATTTTTATTTTAAAATTTTATTTTTATTTTTTTTTTCAACAAGTCGGCCGTCTCCCACCAGCAGGGTGCCCAAAAAAAAAAACAAAAACCCCAAAAAAAAAATACTTTCATCATCATTTAAAACTTTACCACACTCACACATTATCACTGTTTTTGCAGAGGGGCCAGAAAACAACATTCAGAAGCATACACATATAAAGATGCACAACAACCCCCAAAAATGCCAATATCCCAAACCCCCCTTTAAAGGCAGGGATTGTTTTCCCCCTTTCCAGGACTCAAGTCTGACTATGTGAAAAAAAACCGGTTTTCCCCAATATTTTTTTTTTATTTTCACACTGGGCCCATTTCCCCCCAAGGTAGGGGGCCCGAAAAAGAAAAAAATTTTTTACCATCACCACTCCTTTGTCTTCCAGCGGTGTTAACACTCAGTTTTTAAATGCAATATTAAAACCCTCCTTCAGAGTGCAGGGCCCGTATTCCCCCTCCAGGACTCAAGTCCGGCCTGCCGGTTTCCCCCGAAAACCCCCTTCAAAAGTCTTTGTCACACCCAACAACGTCAAGTATTTAAAAAAACCCTTTTGTCTCCATTACTCCATCAAACATGCTCCGCAAGCCTGTGGAAGTCCCCAAACCCCACACAAAAACCCCCTTTACCCCCCCCCTCCAACCTTTCCTAGGCGACCCCTACCCCGCCTTCCTTCCACTACAGACTGATACACTCTTGAAGTCACTCTGTTTCGCTCCATTCTCTCTACATGTCCGAACCACCTCAACAACCCTTCCTCAGCCCTCTGGACAACACTTTTGGTAATCCCGCACCTCCTCCTAACTTCCAAACTACGAATTCTCTGCATTATATTCACACCACACATTGCCCTCAGACATGACATCTCCTCGCTGCAACATTCATCACCCATGCTTCACACCCATATAAGAGCGTTGGTAAAACTATACTCTCATACTCCAACAGATCATCAGGTCCCAAGTACCATTCGTCTCCATTCACTCCTATCTAACATGCTCATGCACGCTTGCTGGAAGCCCAAGCCCCTCACCCACAAAACCTTTACCCCCTCTCTCCAACCCTTTCGAGGACGACCCCTACCCCGCCTTCCTTCCCCTATAGATTTGTATGCTTTCCATGTCATTCTACTTTGATCCATTCTCTCTAAGTGACCAAACCACCTCAACAACCCCTCTTCTGCCCTCTGACTAATACTTTTATTACTCCACACCTTTTCCTAATTTCCACACTCCGAATTTTCTGCACAATATTTACACCACACATTGCCCTTAGACAGGACATCTCCACTGCCTCCAACCGTCTCCTCGCTGCTGCATTTACCACCCAAGCTTCACATCCATATAAGAGTGTTGGTACTACTATACAGTGGTCCCTCAATAATCGACCGGCCTGAAAGTCGACCATTTCGGAAATCAACCGGTTTTTTCGACAAAATATTGACTCGGAAATTGACCGAAATTCGTTTATCGACCCGTCTCGACCCGTCGTCCCAGACGCGTATGCACGAGGTAAGCGGGCCTCGACCCGCCTCAGCCTTCCTTCCCAGCCAGTGTGCCATTGTTTACCAGTTAGCGGCGGTCCTCTCACATGCTCCAGTGAAATATTTCATAATATTTCATTTATTTTAGTGCTTGCAAGTTATTTAAGTGCTAAATAAGCTACCATGGCTCCAAAGAAAGCTCCTAGTGCCAAACCTTTGGTAAAGAAGGTGAGAAATACCATTGAATTTAAGAAAAACATCATTGAACAATATGATAGTGGCGTACGTGTGGGCGAACTGGCGAGGATGTATAACAAAAATCATTCAACCATATCTTCCATCATAGCCATGAGAAAGGAAATCAAGGACGCTGTTGTTGCAAAGGGGGTAAATATGCTGACAAAAATGAGATCACCAGTACTGGAAGAGGTTGAGAAGTTATTATTGGTGTGCATAAATGAGAAACAATCAGCAGGAGACAGTCTTATGACCTCGATTATTTGTGAAAAGGCTAGGCAGTTGCATGAAGATTTGGTAAATAAATTGCCTGCAAATAGTGAAGTGAGTGATTTTAAGGCCAGCAAAGGCTGGTTTGAGAGATTTAAGAAGCGTACTGGCATACACAGTGTGGTAAGGCATGGTGAGGCTGCCAGTTTGGACCACAAGGCGGCTGAAAAATATGTGCATGAATTCCAGGAGTACATAGAGGCTGAAGGACTGAAACCTGAACAAGTGTTCAATTGTGACGAAACAGGCCTCTTCTGGAAGAAAATGCCAAAGAGGACCTTCATTACACAAGAGGAAAAGTCAATGCCAGGACACAAGCCTATGAAAGACAGGCTGACGCTAATGTTCTGTGCTAATGCTAGTGGGGATTTCAAAGTGAAGCCGTTACTAGTGTACCATTCTGAAAATCCCAGAGCATTTAAGAAAAATAATGTTATGAAGAGTAAATTGTGTGTGTTTTGGAAATCTAATAATAAGGCATGGGTCACGAGGGAAATTTTTGTAGAGTGGTTCAACGAAGTGTTTGGCCTAGTGTGAAGAATTACCTCCTGGAAAAGAAATTGGATCTCAAGTGCCTGCTAGTAATGGACAATGCACCTGCTCATCCACCAAACTTGGATGACCTAATTCTGAAGGAGTTTGGGTTCATCTCAGTAAAGTTCTTGCCCCGAATACCACTCCTCTCCTCCAACCCATGGACCAGCAGGTCATTGCAAACTTTAAAAAAACTGTACACCAAAGCAATGTTTGAAAGGTGCTTCAATGTGACCTCAGACACTCACTTGACCCTACGAGATTTTTGGAAAGAACATTTCAGTATTTTCCATTGTGTAAGCCTTATAGGTAAGGCTTGGGAGGGAGTGTTCTACCAGGACTTTGAACTCTGCTTGGAGAAAATTGTGGCCAGATTGTGTCGACAAGAGGGATTTGGAAGGGTTTGGGGCTGACCCTGATGAGCCTATGTCAGTTTTGAACTCTATTGTGGCACTGGGGAGTTCCATGGGGTTAGATGTGAGTTTGGAGGATGTGGAAGAGTTGGTGGAGGACCACAACGAAGAGGCTAACCACTGAGGAGCTGCAAGAGCTTCAGCAGGAAGAGCAACAGATCGCAGCTCAGAATCTTGCTGCAGAGGAGGAGGAAGAGAGATGGAAGAAGGTGCCTTCTTCAGAAATTAAGGAGATTTTTACTATGTGGGGTAAGATGGAAAGATTTATGGAGAAACATCACCCAGAGAAGGATGTTGCAAGCCATATCGGCAACTTGTACAGTGACAGAGTCTTGGCCCATTTTAGGGAAGTTTTAAAGAGACGCCAGAAACAGAGCTCTCTGCACAGTTATTTTGCGAGACAGGACTCCAGTGACTCTCAAGCTGGTCCTAGTGGCATTAAGAAACAGAGAAAAGAAGCAACCCAGAAAAGCAAATGGTACCTGAGGTGTTGCTGGAAGGGGATTCCCCTTCCAAACTATAAACAATCCACTCTCTCCTCCTCCTCCAGTCTCCCATACACTAAGAAGAATCTCCAATAAAGGTAAGTGTTATGCTGTTAATGTTTCATTCATCATTTCCCATTGTATTGTTTATGTACTACATGAATATTTCATGTAAAAAATTTTTTTGTTTTAATACTTCTGGGTGTCAGGAACGGATTAATTGAATTTACATTATTTCTTATGGGGAAAATTGATTCGTAAATCGACCATTTCGATAATCGACCGGCTTCCAGGAACGGATTACCGTCGATAATCGAGGGACCACTGTACTTTCATACATTCCCTTCTTTGCCTCCATAGATAACGTTTT